TGGTGGCATGCATCTGTAATCCCCGCTACTCAGGAGGCTGAGGCAGGACAATCGCTTGAACCTGAGAGGTGGAGGTTGCAGTGAGCTGAGATCGTGCCACTGCACTCCAGCCTGGCGACAGAGCGAGTGAGACTCCATCTCAAAAAAAAAAGTCGTGGAATCTGCTCCTGCCCCTACCAGCCACCTCCCCCCCGCTACATTTTTTTAAAAACAGGAATATTAGTGCAGGGTTTGGGAATTAGGCTGTTTCTTGTTCCAAAGGGGGCATGGGTTAAATCAAGTTGAGAAATGCTGGCTTGAGACATTGGGTCAGGGAGTACAGAAGCCAGCACCGCTCTGCCTGGGCACGCACCAGGGCTCAGTATGTGCTCTGCCCAGGTCTGCACTCGGCCTTGCTGTGCCCTGGCTCTGGGCCCACTTGGACTTTGGCTGCCTCGTGCATTCATTACCAAGTATCTGCCGAGTAGCCACCATGAGTTCTGGGGGTAGAAGCATGTTCAAAACAGGTAGAAATCTTTGCCTCTGTGGGGTGGACATAGATGGGTTATGGGGACTCCAGTCACTGGGTCGGTAGGGAGGGCATCGGGCCAGCACTTGACGAATATGCATCTGTCTTACAAAGCATGGCACGGTATTCGCACGGTATTTGTCGTGCAAAGCATGGTCTCGTGTGAGTGTGGCCGGTTCGAGAAGGCAGAGCCTCACGTGTACTAACTGGACCTCTGAGCTGCCTGGTTCAGCAAGCCATGGGGCTAATGGAGAACTGCCTTGCCCATTGGCTCTGCGAGAGGCCACAGGCCTTTTGTGATTCCAGCTGCCAGGCCTGGAGCAACTGCTGTTTTTCTGGAATTCGGGTTTTTAATCTGTGCCTCAGTTCTTCCTTCGTAATGGGCGGGGGTGGGGGTGGTTGATGATAACGAGTGGTTCCCATTTGTTAGTAGAGGCTGTTTCTTTCCCTGGACTCCCAGGTCCCCTCCCCGGAGGCAGGCAGGGCTCCTGGAGATGTTTGTGTTTACGTGAGCATGTGTCTGCAGAAATTCATTATTTTCCAACTCAGCAGCACCACCTTTCTTTCTTTTCCTTTTTTTTTTTTTTTTTGAGACAGAGTTTTGTTCTGATGCCCAGGCTGGAGTGCAGGGGCGCAATCTCAGCTCACTGCAACCTCCGCCTCTGGGGTTCAAGCGATTCTCCTGCCTCAAGGTTGACTCTTGAGTAGCTGGGATTACAGGCTTTCGCCACCACGTGGGCCCAGCTAATTTTTGTAGTTTTAGTAGAGATGGGTTTTTGCCATGTTGGCCAGGATGGTCTTAATTTTTTGACCTCGTGATTCACCCACCTCAGCCTCCCAAAGTGCTGGGATTACAGGCGTAAGCCACCACGCCCGGCCTGTTTTCCACCTTGCTTAATTTTGAAATTTTTTATGGAGGCGGGGTCTTCCTATGTTGTCCAGGCTGGTGTGGAATTCCTGCGCTCTAGCAAGCCTCCTCCCTCTGCATCCCAAATGCAGGCCTTATAGGAGTGAGCCACCTCCCTTGGCCCTGCACCTGCTTTTTCTCAGGAGGTCTCAGGTCATCCCAAGTCAGCATGCAGACCTGCCTGTATTTTCCCCAGCTGCAGAATGCCTCCTGGCACAGATGCCTCACAGGCACTCCACCTCACCACAGCCTGTGTGTTTAAGCCCTGCTGTCATAGTTCACCAAATCGAAGGTGCTGTCGTCGGGGAGGCATTTAGTTCTGCCTAAACTTGGAGTTGCATATAGTGCCAAGAAAAACAGTTCCCAGTTAAATGAAGACAGGCCCCACCTGTGAGCTGCATCTGCATTCCAGCAGTGTCAAATGTGGAAAAGGGCGCATGTTGGGATGGATGGAAGTAGAAGTAACCTTGCGTGAAATGTGATAATTGGCCCTTCCTCATTGATAAGAGATGGAGACAAACAGTCTTTCATTAGTTTATTTGTGTGTGTGTTTTTTTTAAATGAAAAGCATAGTATGTGGCACTTTTTAGAGAACAAAGGAAATAGTTTAGTAGGAGTACTTTAATTGTGACTCTTAGGGTCTTTCAGGTAAATGATGCTCCTGCGCTAGTGAAATGGCCTAAAGAAACTAAAGGGCAATGATGCCCTGTTTGCAGTAATTTTTCTTTTTATCATTTTGTTTGTTCTGGTAAACTTGGAGTTTGAGTAAATTATGTTCCTTAAATATCTGAGAGCCGGGATAAAGCAGATCTGCTGTCTACTTTTCATATGAAAGGCGTTGTTCATTCTCATAACCTCCATATTGTCAGGATTTTTGAAGCTGTTGACCTTTTCATTGATTATTTTAAATTGTGTGAAATAGTATAAAAATCATTGGTGTTCATTATTTGCTTTGCTTGAGCTCAGATCAAAATGTTTGAAGAAAGGAACTTTATTTTTGCAAGTTATGTACAGTTTTTATGCTTGAGATATTTCAACATGTTATGTATATTGGAACTTCTGCAGCTTGATGCCTCCTGCTTTTGTAGCAGTTTATGGGGAGCACTTGAGAGAGTGGGTGTACATGTATTCTTTTTGTAGGCAAACATTGAAAGCAAATGTGTATTTTTTTAATATAAATATATACCTGTCGTTTTCATTCCATGTTGCTAAGTGATGTTTCATATGTATGGTTATACTCATAATATAATGGGCTTTGTAAGTCCTTTGACCATTCATGAATAATAAATAGGTACTGCTGGCATGTAAAAAAAAAAAAAAACAAAACAAGCCAGTTTCCCGGCTTGGATTTTGAAGCCCAGTCCCAGCCACTTGTTCCCTGCTGACCTGGGATGGGGGCCGTCCTGGAGGATGCGGGAGAAGGGCTGGACTGTCCTTGGCTCCTTTCAAACTGGCTGCTCTCCCTGTGGCTTATTTCAGTCACTGGGGTTTGGGAGGTTGTCTACTTGCACTCTGAATCTTCTCATTCTTAGTGAAGATTTTACTTTTTCTGTGGGTCATCTGAACACGGGGTTCAAAATGCAATGGGTTGAAAACACCTAATTGCGGTATGGTCAAAAATGGGGGATGTGGACAATTTGGTGTCATTTAGCTTAATATTTTTTTCATTTTGGTCTCTGGTCATTTTCACTTATTAGGCAGAACAGTTTGCAAGTATCCAAAGAAAATTCTTTTCTTTTTTTTTGCCGAGTGCAATGACATGATCATGGCTCACTGCAGCCTCCACCTCCTAGGCTCAAGCTGTTCTCTCACCTTAGGCCCGTGAGTAGCTGGGACCGTAGGACACCTGGCTAATTTTTTATCTTTGGTCTCTACAAAATGGGCATCCATGTTGCCTAGGCTGGTCTCAGACTTCTGGATGCAAGCCAGCCTCCTGCCTCAGCCTCCCTAGTAGCTGGGATTACAGGTACCTGCCACCACACCCAGATAATGTTTTGTGTTTTTAGTAGAGACAGGGTTTCACTATGTTGGCCAGGCTGGTCTCGAACTCCTGACCTCAGGTGACTGCCTCAGCCTCCCAAAGTGCTGGGATTACAGGTGTGAGCCACTGTGCCCAGCTATTGATTTTTGAGGCAGAGTCTGGCTCTGTCCCCAGGCTGGAGTGCAGTGGCTCGATCTCTGCTCACTGCAATCTCTGCCTCCCACGTTCAAGCAATTCTCCTGCCTCAGCCTCCTGAGTAGCTGAGACTACAGGTGTGTGCCACCACTCCCAGCTAATTTTTCTATATATTTTTTTAGTAGAGATGAGGTTTCACCACGTTGGTCAGGATGGTCTCGATCTCCTGACTTCGTGATTTGCCCGCCTTAGCCTCCCAAAGTGCTGGGATTACAGACATGAGCCACCATGCCCAGCCCTTTCCCCAAAAGTTCTAAACAATGAGTGGCAGAACTAGTTCATTGTTCTTTATTTATTTTGTATGTTTTTGAGACAAAGTCTTACTCTGTTGCCTGGGTTGGAGTACAGTGGTGCGATCTCGGCTCACTGCAACCTCTGCCTCCCAGGTTCAAGCAATTCCTGCCTCAGTCTCCTGAGTAGCTGGGATTACAGGTGCCGACCACCACTCCTGGCTAATTTTTTGTATTTTTAGTAGAGACAGGGTTTTACTGTGTGGGCCAGGCTGGTCTCGAACTCCTGACGTCATGATCTGCCCGCCTTGGCCCCCCAAAGTGCTGGGATTACAGGTTTGAACCACTGTGCCCCGTCTGTTCTTTATTTTTTACTTTTTGTTTTTTAAAAACTTTTAAAGAGATTGGTCTTGCTTGGTTGCCTAAGCTGGTCTTGAACTCGGGCTGAAGCACTGGGTCCACCTCAGCCCCCCAAAATGCTGAGATTACAGGTGTGAGCCACAGTGCTTGGCCTCTAGTTGACTTTTCTTAAACCAGGCTCCCTTCTGCTGGGACCTGCTTCCTGTCCACCAGCTTCTCTCCTGTACACCCCTGGGCTGCCAAGACCTCTGTCCCTGCCATGCAGACTCCCTGCTCCCAGCGGAGTGTCCCCTCCAGGGAGTCCTGTAGGCCAGCTCTTGCCTTGTAATGTCTTCAGTGGCTTTGGCTAATGAATGCTGCTTCTTACTCTTGGTTTTCCTTTACAGAACATTGGTAACTTACAAACTTGAGCTTGTCATTTGTTCCAAAGAATTCACAGGAGCACTGTCTCTCCCTTGTTCAAGGCTCAGCATGGTGGCTTACTTTCAAGGGGCTGTGGAAAGAGAGGGTCACTCCTCTTTGATCATTTCCCTGCTGCCTGCCTTCAAGTGGTCCGCGGGCCAAGTCACTTGAGGGAAATTGGTGATCTTTCTTTATGTTTCACGCTTACCCTCTCCTCACCATCACGGCCAGGGGTCTGTGAAATTTCACTCAGGTCCCTTCAGTGCTCTCTGGCTCATACGGATCTTGCCCAAATTCCCGTGGATATACAGTCATTTGCTCACCTGTTGCAGGGGGTGGCTGGGAGGTGGCACTCAGCCCTTCGACTCCAAGGCCCAGGACTCCTGACTCATGGGACTCACGTGTGTCCCTGCACAGGGAGGAGTGGATGCGGGCCATCCAGATGGTTGCCAACAGCCTCAAGCAGCGGGCCCTGGGTGAGGACCCCATGGACTACAAGTGTGGCTCCCCCAGTGACTCCTCTGTGGCCGAGGAGATGGAAGTTGCGGTCAGCAAGGCACGGGCCAAAGTGGTAAGTGCTGGGAGCAGGGGTGGGGCTGCCAGCCTGTGATGCCCCCACCCCCAGTGTTGGCCCTGATCACCTTGGTTTCCATACAGTTCAAGGGGCTCGGCTGTGAGACGACAGGCCTGCCCTGCAGGGTGGGGTGATTTCAGGTGCCAGGTGCCCCAGGGGCTGCTCCGTGCCCGTGGAGGAGGGAGCAACCCTGGGTGGGTCCATTGCAGCTTTGTCCTGAGAGGAGGTGAAGACCTGGCTACCCCTGTGTCAGAGCTCAGTCCTCCCAAGGCCCTGTCCCTGGGAGAGCCTGGTCTGAAGGCCACTTCGGAACATAGGGTTGCTGCCCAGAGCTTCCCTTCCTGCTCCAGCCTAAGCCGTTTGGCAACAGTGTCTTTTAGTTTTCCTCTTTCTTTTGTTAAAATTTCCTCCCACGGGCCATGAGCCAGGCGTTGACTGCCCCCACTCTCCCTGTCCCTGGCAGACCATGAATGACTTCGACTATCTCAAACTCCTTGGCAAGGGAACCTTTGGCAAAGTCATCCTGGTGCGGGAGAAGGCCACTGGCCGCTACTACGCCATGAAGATCCTGCGGAAGGAAGTCATCATTGCCAAGGTGCGTGCCCCAGGACTGCGCTTGCCGGCCTCTGGGGGGGGCTGCGGTCTGGAGCCTGACCCTGAAGCATGGATGCTTACCCACACTGTCTGCTGCCATGGGCGGGGCTTATTTCCCCCACAGATTCCATCCTCACTGGACTCCATCCTCTGAGTCCCCACCTCCACCTTCTGGTAGGGGCTGGGGGTGACTGTAGAGAGAGAGCCTTGGGCCTCACCCTGGAGGTACTATCGAGGGAGGCTGGGGCCTCTTGGGAAGGCTGCGAGGACGTCCCTTTGGGGAGGCCGGGGCTCTGCTCAGGTGTCTCAGTTGGAAGCCGGGCCAGGAATGGAATTCTATTTTTTCCCCTTATTTGAAGTTTTTGTGGTGGAAGATTCCAAACATATTCAGAAATTTAAAAAGAAAATCAGTATTGCGGACCACCATGTAGCCATTGTGCAGTTTCACCGGTTATCAGCATGTAGCCAGCCTTGTTTCCTTAGCTCCGCCTCCCCCTGTTGCTCTGGAATACCTGAAGGTCTGTGCTGGACATCACATCACTCCACTCATACGTACTCGAATACGTGTCTCAGCCGATGAAGACTGAAGAATGTAACCATGAGGTGCTGCCCTCAACATGAGCCGTTCATTCCTGACGTGATGATTGGGCCCAAGGCGGCATTCCGCAGCCTCAGCGCTGTTGACATTTTGGGATAGATTGTTCTGTGCTATGGGGGCAGCCCTGTGCATTGTAGGGTTTTAAGCAGCACCCCTGGATTCTACCCCCTAAAGCCAATAGTAGCTCCCCAAGTTGTGACAATCAAAAATGACGTTTGGGCCGGGTGCTGTGGCTCACGGCTAAAATCCCAGCACTTTAGAAGGCTGAGGTGGGAGGATTGCTTGAGCACAGGAGTTCGAGACCAGCCTGAGCAACAAAATGAGACCCTGCCTCTATGCTGCTCAGGAGGCTGAAGTGGGAGGATCCCTTTAGTTCCAGAGGTTGAGGCTGTAGTGACCCATGTTTATACCACTGCACTCCAGCCTAGGTGACAGAGCCAGACCCCCAACTAAAAAAGAAAAAGAAAAGACTTTAGACCTTCTCAGGTGTCCCCTGGGGATACACTTGCCCCTGGGAGAGTCCGTGTTGAAGTTGCTACAGGTGGCTCCAGATTTTTGGAACCTCTCCTTGTGGTTCTCCTGTATAGCCAGGTACCAAACTTGAACCTGAATCAGAGTTACCCAAAGGGCTTGTGAGATGGTGCTCAGCCCACCCCAAGTTTCTGACTCTGGGCCTGTGGGTAGGTCCCAGGAATTTGCATTGCTGCCAGTTCCCAGGCAGTGGTGATGTGGCCAGTGTGGGGACCGCACCCTGAGAAGCGTTCTGCTGTGTAGACCTTCATTAGGTTCAGTTCCTTCTTTGGGCAAGAACGCTTTCTAGGTGGGGCTTTCCACAGCTGTGGCGGACCTCGGGGCTCTCGTGATGTCTGTCTCTCCTGCAGGGGTGTCACAGATGTCTTGCGCCTAGCAGCCTGGCCCCCTAATTGTCACATTCTTGCTGAGTTTCCACTTGTGGCTTTGAGAGCCACTGATGATCCTCATCTGGGTCTGTTCTTTGCTGAGGGCTTGCAGGCACTCACATTCCACTCCTGTCATTGTTTCTACATTTATGGCTGGGAGTAGAATTATATCTCACAAGGCCTTGATCCCATTCCTCAGGTCGGGGTGGGGGGGCAGGCACGGTGTTGCCCCCCAGCCCCTCACCCGCAGTCTGTCTGCAGGATGAAGTCGCTCACACGGTCACCGAGAGCCGGGTCCTCCAGAACACCAGGCACCCGTTCCTCACTGTGAGTTGCACTCCCCTTCCCAGGCAGTGTGAGGCCGGCCTGGACAGAGCTCAGGGAAAGAGCCCAAATCTTCTGCTACAAAGCACAGCCTTGGGGTAGGCCGGGCGGGCAGGGCAAGGTATTGCTGTGCCCCTGCCCCACTCATCCGAACCAAGACGTGGCGGGGGTGAGCAGGCTCGGGGAGTGGGAGGGTGACAGCTTCTTCATAGATGGAGGCTTCATGTAAGCACTTGAACCAACTAAAGATATCACATTATATGATGGCTGCTGTCTATGAGTTAGAGCACTTGGCCCAGCTGGTCGGAGTGGATATATTATTTTTTGGTTTTTGTTTTCAGATATGCGCATAGAAGCAGATGTGTTAGCATAGTGTTGTCTGTCAGTTTGGACTGAGTAGATTGCTATTGGGGTTGCAGTCTCCATCAAGGCCAGTGGCCACCAGTTAAATGGACTGGACTGAGGATGGCTTGTGTCATGTCTTTGTCTCAGTTGCTGTCCAGGTATCCTATTAAGCCACAGTACTTTTTCAGATAAAACCTTACAAGGTTTCTCAGTGTAGAAAACAGAATAGTTGAGTTGTCATGAGCTGAGGGACCCCCGGGGGGTCTCTAGGAGCTCTCCGTAGGCCTCCTTAGTGCAGACAGAACTGTTTGTGGGCTGACAGCCTGTCCATCCTGTCACTGAAGTTGGCTCCCAAGCCATTGCCACTCCCAGCCACAGCAGACATCACTTGTGTGTGGAAGTTGAACACATTTTACTGTAAAAACAAGAGCACTGGTTGCTCAGAACAGCTCTAGTTTCTCCCCTGGCTGTGCCTGATGGAGGCAGAGGACAAGATGGTTCATTCTGCATGTAACCCTTTCCTACCTGCAGAGCCACGCCTTCACTTATGCCCCAAAAGGCGCAGCTGGGATATGAACCCCATCTGGCTGACTCCTGCAGGCCCCAGCCAGGGCAGGGTGTGTGCAGAATAAGCAGGGCCTTCTCCCTCCCACCTCCAACCCTGCTGCCTTCATCCCCCAGGCGCTGAAGTATGCCTTCCAGACCCACGACCGTCTGTGCTTCGTGATGGAGTACGCCAACGGTGGCGAGGTGAGCCGAGGCTGCCCTGGCCTCGTCTTCTGGGGCCTCCTTCCCTAGGTTGGGGCGGGGTGGAGAGGAGCTGTGGGTGAGATGGAGGGGTGGAGGGAAATTTCCTGAATGTCATCTTGTGCCCCCTCCCTTGAGGCAGGTGGCGTCATCTTCATTTGGGGGGTGGGATGGTTACTGAGGCTCAGAGAGGTTCAGTGGCTCACCCAAGTTCACACAGCTAGTGAGTGGATAGGTCAGGGGCCAAACCAGTCCAGAGAGGTGTGAAGAGGGCTGCAGGGTGGCTGGCCGACAGCACTGGGAAGGATGGTCTTAAAGGCCCTAGAGAAAGTCCCCAAGGGTCAAAGCTTACCAGCTCTCTGTTCCCATGTCCTCCCGAAGTGGATTTACGCAGCCGCTCCACTCCCTATCACAAGGTCACCTCACTCTGTCACCCACTCTTCTCAGTGCAGCGGATGTCACGCCTGCATTGGGATAGGTGGTTTGCTCACCCATCTGATCTGGGCTTGCCCATGGCCTGTTGTCACTTGGTCATGACGTGCACTTCTCTTTCCCTCTGTGCCGGCCTCCCTCCTCTGCTGCCTCGGGCTGTCCCTCCCATACCCTCTCGTGGGTGCCTCCTGGCAGACCCTAGCCCTTCACGCCTAGCTCTGTGTCACTTGTGAGCTGCTTCTGCTCTGTGCCTTGCTTGGTCTCTCTGGCTGTCACTTGCTGGTTCATGATGGAGGTGTCACCGCATCACTGGGCTAGGGCAGGGGGCTGGGAAGCTGAGGGCAAGTGAGTGGGTGGTGGCCTGACCTCCTCTCCCCACCCCTTTCTCCCGTAGCTGTTCTTCCACCTGTCCCGGGAGCGTGTCTTCACAGAGGAGCGGGCTCGGTTTTATGGTGCAGAGATCGTCTCAGCTCTTGAGTATTTGCACTCTCGGGACGTGGTGTACCGCGACATCAAGGTTAGTGGCAGGGTGTGCACCAGGCTGGCCCGTGGCATGCAGACGGGACTCACACCAGGGACGTGGGGCCGAGGCCTTCTGCCCTCATTCGCCAAGCTCTCCCCACCAAGGTCCAGGGTGGTGGTTCCATAGCAAGTGGCCCCAAGGTAGGGACCTTTCCAGGTCTCCATGAGCCCTCCTAGGCTGCTAGTGGGGTGTGAACTGGCACAGTCCCTACTTTATTTTTATTTATTTATCTGAGAAGGAGTCTCCCTCTGGTTGAGTGCAGTGGTGCGATCTCAGCTCACTGCAACCTCCACCTCCTGGGTTCAAGGGATTGTCCTGCTCAGCCTCCTGAGTAGCTGGGATTAGAGGTGCACCCTACCACACCCAGCTAATTTTGTATTTTTAATAGAGACGGGGTTTCTCCATATTGGTCAGGCTGGTCTCGAACTCCTGACCTCAGGTGATCCACCTGCCTCAGCCTCCCAAAGTGCTGGGATTACAGGCATGAGCCACTGCACCCGGCCTTGTTTTTTTAAACATAAAATAGGGATGAGATCTTGCTGTGTTGCCCAGGCTGGTCTCAGACTCCTAGACTCAAGCAATTCTGCTTCCTAAGCCCCCTCAAAGTGCTGGGATTACAGATGTTAGCCACTTTGTCTGGTTGCATATTTCATAATTAAAAGACAAAAAGTGTAGGAAAAAAGAAGAAAGCGGTGGCTCACGCCTATAATCCCAGCACTTTGGGAGGCCGAGGCGGGTGGATCACAAGGTCAAGAGATCGAGACCATCCTGGTCATCCCTGTCTCTACTAAAAATACAAAAAATTAGCTGGGCACGGTGGTGCGCGCCTGTAGTCCCAGCTACTCGGGAGGCTGAGGCAGGAGAATTGCTTGAACCTAGGAGGCGGAGGCTGTGGTGAGCTGAGATCACGCCATTGCACTCCAGCCTGGGTAACAAGAGCGAAACTCCGTCTCAAAAAGAAAGCTAGTGCCCACCCCCGTGTTCGAACTTAAGACCCTGTAGCTCTCAGTGGGGCAGTGGGTAGACAGGGCCTGGCTCCCGGATCTCCCTGCCCAGCTGTTCTCAAGTACCTTGAGGGTGGGCCAGGGGGCGGAGCAGGTTGGGTCTGGCCTCTCTTTGAGCCTCAGAGGTTGAGGCTGTGTGTGCTGGGCCCAGCCTGGCCTGAGAGAGTTGATATCTAGGACCCCCTGGCATCTTCCCCTGAAAGGAAAGGCTGGGGCGGCAGGAAGCCCTGGGAGCATGTGCGTGAGATACGTTGACTTTTCCAACAGCTGGAAAACCTCATGCTGGACAAAGACGGCCACATCAAGATCACTGACTTCGGCCTCTGCAAAGAAGGCATCAGTGATGGGGCCACCATGAAAACCTTCTGTGGGACTCCGGAGTACCTGGCGCCTGAGGTGTGTGAGGTTAGGGGTGTGGGAACATGTGAGACCAAGGGTAGGGGAATCCCAGACCTGTGTGTTTCCAGCCTCAGGGCCATGGGCCCAGCCCCTCATTTCCCCTCCATCCTCAGGTGCTGGAGGACAACGACTATGGCCGGGCAGTAGACTGGTGGGGGCTGGGCGTGGTCATGTACGAGATGATGTGTGGCCGCCTGCCCTTCTACAACCAGGACCACGAGCGCCTCTTCGAGCTCATCCTCATGGAGGAGATCCGCTTCCCTCGCACGCTCAGCCCCGAGGCCAAGTCCCTGCTTGCCGGGCTGCTTAAGAAGGACCCCAAGCAGAGGTGAGGGCTGGTGTCGGCCCTGCCCAGCCCAGCCCAGCCCAGCCTGGCCTGGCCCCGGCTGCTGCCACTGTCCCTGCAGCCCGGAGGGGGCTGTGTCCACAAAGGCACTCGCTTGTGATGTCACAGTGTGTGTTGTCCCCACACAGCCCCTGAAAATGCACTGGCCCTTAGGGAGAGCTTTCCCAGGGCGGGGCAGGCCATCCTTGACACTGCTTTGGTTTATGGGGACATTGAGGAACAGGGCAACCCTGGGCCTGGCTGGGGCCACCAAGCTGTATGTGGCAGAGCCAGAATGGAACCAAGACTGCCCTACTAACTCCCTTTCTGGACTCAGGGTGAGGTCAGGCTGACCCTGGGCACGTGAGCTCCCTCCCTGAGCCTCAGTTTCCTCCTCTGTGAAGTGGTGGTTTGTGGTCAAGACAGAATCATAAAGGCCATGCAGGGCCTGCCTGCGCCGAAAGCCTGTCTCCCTGAACCCAGCTGCTCTGGGAGGCAGGTGCTGACAGCCATCTCTGCCCAGGCTTGGTGGGGGGCCCAGCGATGCCCAGGAGGTCATGGAGCACAGGTTCTTCCTCAGCATCAACTGGCAGGACGTGGTCCAGAAGAAGGTGAGTCCCCACTGCCAGCCCCAGCAGGACCCTCAGGGGCCTGGCCCACCCATGGTGACCTTGGTTGAGGCCTCCTGGCATCAGGGTCCCTGAGCCCGGGCTCCTCTCCTCCGTAGCTCCTGCCACCCTTCAAACCTCAGGTCACGTCTGAGGTCGACACACGGTACTTCGATGATGAATTCACCGCCCAGTCCATCACAATCACACCCCCCGACCGCTGTGAGTGCCTGGGGCACCCTGCCGCGGTATGCCTGGCCCAGTGGTGGAGGGATGGGATCTGCTTTTAACCCACTTCTTGAGGAGGGCCCTCGAAGGCTGCCTCTTCATGTTGGGGCAGTTTCCCTAAGGCCTATTCTCAGGCCCTTTTACTGTTGGTCCTCTTTGGACCTGGTGAAGTCACCAGGAGCCATTGGCTACAGCAGATTCTGGAGCTCAGTGGGGGCCAGAGCAGGAGACAGCCTGGTGCGTGAGGCTGGCTGGGTTCACTGCTTTATAGCTATGTGAGTTCTTACTCTGAACCCAGCGCAGGGCTGGGCTATGCTGGGGACACAGCGCTGATGGAGCTGTGTCCCAGAAAGCTCCCGGCCAGGTAGAGCGATGGCCTGGAGTGGTTGGGGCTAGGCTGTGGGAGCCCAGGGACTGGGGAAGCTCAGAGGAAATATCTGACCTGGCCTACAGGTAGGGAGGGCTTTCTGGAAGAGGAAGCAAACACGTCAGTTGGCAGGAATGGCATGTAGGATGCCAGCAGTGGGAGAAGTGTGACATGGCCGAGGACAGGCAGAGCCAGGGAGATGGGGGAGAAGAGAGGGCATTGGGGCCAGAATGTGAGGGTCTGGGGGGCCACTGGGAGGAGTGGGGACTGCTTGCATGGGGGGAGCCAGGGCAGGGTTTTGTGCAGAGGGACAGGGTTGCAGCAGTTCTTTAGAAACTACCCCTGGCAGCCTGTGGAGAATGGGTGGGAGGGCGAGAGGCAGGCCAGGACAGGGCTCTGGGCTGGACCCTGGCATCATGGTGTGTGGGGCAGAGACAAGATGGAGGTTCAGAAGGCCCTGCCAGCTGTGAGGCACATGGGCGAGGGCACAGAAAGCCAGAGGAGGCTGCCGAGAGCTCCAGCATGGGGAGTGGGCCATGGCTGAGGGGCTTCGTTGTAGAGGAGGTTGCTGGGCCTTTTCCATCTGTCCTGTGGGCAGCCCCCGCCAGCTGCGGCCAGTTCCCCAGGGAGTCTGGGCAGGTGCCCCAGGCCCTCTGCTGACCGGTCCTCCCCATCCACCTCCACCACCCACAGATGACAGCCTGGGCTCCCTGGAGCTGGACCAGCGGACCCACTTCCCCCAGTTCTCCTACTCGGCCAGCATCCGGGAGTGAGCAGCCCGCCCACGCAGAGGATGCACCCACGCCGCCATCACCGCCGGGTGGCTTTTTTCCAACTTTTTACTTTGCCTTTTTGGTTTGTGTCCCCACCCCTACCTCCTCACCTGCTTTCCAGTTCTTCTTCAGGCCCCTCCCAGACGCACCCCAGCGGCCCTTGCTCCCAGCCTCACGTTTGTGCCTGGACTCGCATTTGGGAGACTCCATCTCCTGCCCAGGCCCAGGCTGTTGGGTGGCTGCAGAGATTCAGGTTTTAAACCACACAAGCCCCAGTGAGGGGTGAAGCATGGTGCCCGAGGCCTGCCTGGGTTTCTGGCCCGGGTGCCGCGCTGGTGGCTGCCTCCATGCTGCTGCTTCCAGACGAAGCCTGCCTTCTGGTGCGACACAGCACCTGGCAGACAGTGGTGCTGCCTTCCAGGCCCCGTGGCCTAGGCTCGGAATGCCCAGGCGCAGGTCCAACCCCCCACCCGCTGTCCTCCCATGGGGGCAGAAAAGCAATAATATCCAGGGACAGGCAGGAGCCCTGGGGAGCTACAGGGTTGGGGGTTAGGGCTGCTCCCTGATGAACAGAGCCAGGTCCTAGGATCTGTGCCATGGGAAACCAGGAGGGGCCAGGCTGGGTGCTGCCTCCTGGCCCTGCTTCCCCACCAAGCTGCCATCCTCACCCTGTGGATGAGGCAGGAGGAACACTTGGGGGCAAACCTGCCTGCCCCCAGCCCCGTGCCTTACTAGGGCTTCCTTCCAGCTGGCCTTTCCTCCTGCTGGACCCTGGGCCTGGCCCGGCCTGGCCCCGCCCCACTGGGGGCTGGGCTCGCCCCCTTCTCTGCGGGGGCAGAGGGGCGCCAGCCTCGGCTGTTACAATCTTACACCAGACAGTATTGGGCCCCATGGACTTGGTCAGGGAGGGGTGGGGTGGGCGTCTCTGGTACCTGTTGGGGTGGGGGGGGCCTCTGAGAAGGGAGGCTACTAGGCCCTGTCTTCCCTCCCGCTCCCCAGGGCCCCACGTTCTGCAGCCTTAAGGTTGAACATGAGTGCACATCCATGTCAGTGCCGTGGGACCCCTGTGCGTGCTTCGGACTGCGTGTGTCGGCGTGACTCAGGCACACGTGGGTGTGTGTGCATGTGTGTGCGTATGTGTGTTGGTGTATGTGAGGGCAGTATGTCCTCCAGTGTGCATGGTGTGTGGGCTTGGGCCCCATCCCTGGCCCGAGCATTTCATCCTGTGGGGGAGGGGCGCTGACCTAGTGGGAGGAGCCCCACCACCGGGATCCAGGCGCTGCGCCCCCCCCCCCCCCCCCCGACGCCTCCCCTCCCCTCCCCTCCCCTCCCCGCAGCACCACCTCCCCGCAGCAACACCTCTGTGTGTTTGGAGTTGAGCTTTTGTGGGTTTGATTTTCCTACCCCACCTCCTGTACTATGCAGTTCCTGGCGGGGTGGGGAGGGGTCGGGTGGGGAGGGGTGGGGGTCTTTTTTTCCTCTGCTCCACGTCGTTTATCAGACAGTTCTCCGTCCCTACTGGCTTTTCTCCTCGTCTTCATATTTGTACGGTACAAGCAATAAAGACACTCATTTCAGACCAGGGCCCAGCCTGCACTCACGCCGGCCCAACCACCCGGGTCCTTGCCTTGGTGATGGAGTCCGGCCCCTGGGCCTCAGCTCCTCTTGTACCAGCCATTTCCTTCAGCAAGGGAGGGGCTGAGCAGGGGCGTGGGGATGAGAATGAGCTCAGGGCGAGGGCAGCTGGGGTGTGTGCTGGAGCTCAGGGTGGAGAGGGTGGGTGGAGCTTGGGCTGTGGGGTTGAGAGGTGTGGGGGTGGGGTAGACAGAGACCACTCCAGGCCCTCTGTGCTGCTTGGGCTAAGAGGCGTGGTGGAGGAACAGGGGTGGAAGAGCTGGGTGGCCCAGAATGAGGAGGGTGCCTTTGGTGTCACTGAGTGAAAGGGAGTGGTTCATTCCATAGGCCCCCGAGCCTTAGAGTGGGGCATTCCTGTCTAGCCACACCTCCCCGTTTATGCTGCCACCGGAAGCCTTGAGGTCCCCAGATTCCAGTACAGACCCAGTGGTGTGTTGATGGTGGTGTGGTTGCTGTCGCCTGGGAGCTCCTGAGTATTTGGTTAGGGCCCGCTTAGCTTGGAGTCCGTCCCCTCCACCAGGCCCTGCCCTTTAGCCTGGCTGTGTCTGGGCTCCTGCACTTTGCATGCTTGAGTCACGTGGCTGCCTGGCCGGAGCTCGCTGGGTGGAACACCTCCCCCAGCCGGGGATGAGGGACAAGAGCCCTGCCCTGCCGTGCAGAGAGGGCCTGGCACAAATGAATTTGAGATTTGACCACAAGGTGTTAGCGCTTCACGCCCATTGGAGTGTGAGATTTTGAGTGAATTTAAGCAGAAAAGTCAGATCCAATTTTCAGAAATCAGAGTTAGCTACAGCTAAGACTTTTAGTTTGTCTTTCTAAAGTCATATGGACCTTAATTTAATTACAAAGTCTACCCTGGTGGTGTAAGACAGGCCGACCTATAAAGACCTTGTACCCTTCTGTCTCATCCCAGCCCCCCTTGCGCCTCACACCCCCGTGAGGCAGGTCTCCTAGTGGGCACAGGCCTGGCTACCTCATCCTTTTAGTGGGTCTAGTCTTCTGCAGGATGGGGTCCCACAGCTGCAGCAGCTGGCCCCATAGTTGAGCCTATGTGCTTATCCTGTAGAGCTTTTCCTAAGGAGGGTGTTAGAAGTCTTAATAAAACATTTTGAGTAGAATCATCGTCTTTTGCAGTGTACATTTAAAAAACTTCACAAGTTCTTTTTTGTATGTAAAGAACGGTAGACTGGGCACAGTGGCTCACACCTGTAATCCCAGCACTTTGGGAGGCCGAGGCGGGCGGATCTCGTGAGGCCAGGGGTTCAAGACCAGCCTGGGCAACATAGGGAGGCCTTTGTCTCTACAAAAAATAACAAAAATTAGCTGGGCATGGTAGTGCATATCTGTGATCCCAGCTAACTTGGAAGGCTGAGGTGGGAAGATCACTTGAGCCCAGGAGTTTGAAGCTGCAGTGAGCTATGATTGTGGCGCTGCACTCCAGCCTGGGACAGTGAGACTGTGTCTCTAAAAAGAAAAAAAAATGATATATGTCATTTTAAAATAACACAGCAAAGCAGGTGTAAAAGTAAAATTCACTGGACTGGAGGTCTCAGGGCCTTGAGTTCTCATTTTGGTGCTGATTACCTTTGCAAAGGGACAGGGTATCATAAATCGGTAGTTTCCTCCTCTTTTTGCATTATCTTTTCCAGTTAATGCAAAGTGTCTGGGGGCTGCCCTGCGTGCATTGATGGCCATGTTGAGTCAGGGGTAGCAGTGAGACTCCCTTTCAGCTGTTGCATTTGGGGAACTCAGGCTTTCCAGCTGCTTCCCCCGTGGGGTCGTCAGCCGCCCTGTTGACAGGAATTTACTTGGTTTTGTGTCTGGTGCTCCCAGCAGTCCTGTAATAAACCTTAGCGAGCCGTCTGCGTCCCAGGATTTTAATGTCTAGTACCTTTCCGAAAAAGTGTAGCCATTCACATCAAATTTTAAAATAATTGCAGACTTGCAGAAAACTTTAAAAAATAGTACTGTACTAAGATGATTCCAGGACTGGGGCATCTTGCAGTGCCTGAAGGTAAGCACTCGTGCTAAGTCACAGGGACATGGAGCCCAAGAAAGAGCTCCCAGTGGCCCAAGCTGAAAAGAACTTGAGCCACAAAATAAATAGCATAATATTGGGTTTTCGCACTGCACTCCAGCCTGGCGACAGAGTGAGACTCTATCTCAAAAAATAATAAAATACAAAAAGCTGAGCATGGTGGCATGTGCCTGTAATCCCAGCTGTTTGGGAGGCTGAGGCAGGAGAATCACTTGAACCTGGGAGACAGACGTTGCAGTGATCCGAGATAGCACCATGGCAAATGGGAAACAAATGAGTCTACTGCTAAGTGGTAAATGGGGAGAATACACCAATCTTCACAAAATCGCAAATCATTTGTGTAGACAGCCTTCAAGGAGAGGTATGTAACCCCAACCACTTAGGCGTGGGCTGCAGTGACTCCTCCAACGAGTGCAGTGTGGAGGGTGGGGAAGAACTCTTCAGTGAAGACATCTGACAAACACGGCACCATCCAGGTGATCCAGGTCCACATTACCGATAAATCATGTTCACGGCGTCCCTTTAACGTGATGTAATAGAACCGCACTTTCCCTCTGATCCTCCTCCCGCAGACACACGCCACCTCACTGAGGAAGCAGACGGCAGACGGATGTCAGCTGAGGGATTTGTTTAAGGTGGTTAGAAATCAGAAAAGTCTGAGAAAGGGACACATCCAAGATCAACCGAAGGAGTCACGGTGACTAAATATAATGTGTCCTGAAACAGAAAAAGGGTCGTAGGGAAAAGGGGGAGGCTGAATAAAGCATGGCCTTAATAGATTATTGGTTTCACTGATTGTGACACGTGCCACACTAATATGTTAATCAGGGAAATTGGGTGTGGGGTGGATGGGAACTCTGTCAATCTATTCAAAAATAAATGTAAAAGAATTTAAAAATACACCCTTCACCAGGTTCCTCGTAGCATTTTATTTCTTAAAACGGACAAAGATGGGATCAGAATTTTACATTCACCTCTCCTCCACGTCTGTATCCCTGTCCTAAAGCAAGAAGATTCTGCTACGTCACTGCTGTCCAGGTAGCAAGGTCAGGAAGGCGATGCTCCCATTCTCCACAGATTTTATCGTGTGTGCTAATGGTCACACCTGATGTCCTTGTGTGTGTTGAAAATGACCAGGGTCACACATTGAGTTCAGTTGGCAGCTGTGAAACTCACAGGGCAGTTACTCTGCGGTTACTTTCCCACGACCAGGTTTGGTTGCTTCACGTTTCCTTGTGGTTAGGTTCATGCTATTTTGGGCAGGAATTCCCGGAAGTGACGTGCCTTTTTTTGGGCATCCTATCAAAGTGCATGAGGATGCTTGTCCCATAACTGATGATGACTTGGATCCCTTAGTGAAGGTGATGTCTGGGAGGTTTCTCCACTGGACAGTTCCCTACTTTCCCTTTGTAGTTGTGAAAGCAAAATCTCCCTGAAATCACTAAGCCACAGGAAAAATCAAGCTGGGAACTGCTTCTCAGAGAAACCTGCCTCCCATTCTGTTCCTTAACAACATAGCTACAAAGGTAGGGTGGGGGTGTAGACAGAGTCTGTCACCCAGGGGTGTGTGTGTGTTTTGAGACAGTCTCTGTTGTCTAGGCTGGAGTGCCATGGCATGATCTCAGCTCTGCAACCTTCACCTCCAGGATTCAAGTGACTCTCCTGCCTCAGCCTCCTGGGTAGCTTGGATTACAGGTGCCCACCACCACCTCCAGCTGATTTTTGTATTTTTAGTAGAGACAGCGTTTCACCGTGTTGGCCAGGCTGGTCTCGAACTCTTGACCTCAAATGATCTGCCTGCCTCAGCTTCTCAAAGTGCTGGGATTACAGACGTGAGCCACCGTGCTTGCTCTAAAGGTACTTTTAAAAAGCTACTTACCTCTCTCACCATTTGCCCATGAGGAAATTCCTTTGTGGACAAAGGACAGGCAGAACTCAAAATCAGCCCTGTGCTCCTGTGAGACAAACGCATATCTGATGGCGTCCTCTGCCCTGTTGTTTCACTGTGCCAGACTAGGCATAGGTGACCCTTCCTGTAAATTGTGCATTTGCTTAAAGGCTAATCAAACTCAAAAGAATGCAACCATTGGTCTCTTATCTATGCCTGGGAGCCCCCTACCCCGCTTCGAGTTCTTTGAACTTTCCAGAATGAACCAATGTACATCTACATATACTGATGATGTCTCATGTCTCCATAAAATACATAAAACCAAGCTGTGCCCCGATCACCTCCTGAGGCTGTGTCATGGGCGCGTCCTTAACCTTGGCAAAACAAACTTCCTAAATTGATTGAGACTATCTCAGATTCCTTTTGGTTTACATAGTTAATAAGCATCTTGTGCAGAGACATTTTGTAGATACCCTGATTCCTATCAGATGTTCACCCACTAGTTTGAACATCTGTTGATGTTTCTTGCATGAAACGATGCCATGGTGGTCGCTAAATATTTTCCGTCCTTCTGCGTTTATTAGTCCGGCCAGGCACGGTGGCGCACACCTGTAATTCCAGCACTTTGGGAAGCCAAGGTGGGAGGATCCCTTGAGCACAGGAGTTCAACACCAGCCTCGGCAACAAAGTGAGACTCCTGTCTCTACAAAAAATTAAAAAATTAGCAAGCATGGTGGCGCACACCTGTAGTCCCAGCTACTTGGGAGACAGATGGGAGGATCGCTTGAGCCTAGGAGGTTGAGGCTGCAGTGAGCCATGTTCACGCCACTGCACTCCAGCCTGGGTGACAAAAGTGAGACACTGTCTCTGAAAACAAACAACACATTCATTCATATACCAAAGATTAAAGAGCTCCTCCTTCCTACTGCCTGATTTATATCAGAATAAACCAGTATTTTAATTTTATTCAGTGGTTTGTGATCTCAGAGTATCATCTTGATGCTCATGTTTTCTAGATTTAGCTAGTGGCTTCTGCACCTGTGTGACGTGCCCTGCCATTGGGACACCTTCTGCCACACAAAGATATTCCAGATCTTGTATCTTCTCTTGTATGACTGACCCTGGGATTAGCCTTTTCTTCCTTCTTTCTCTCTTTCTCTTTCTTTCTTTTTTTCTTTTCCTTTCCCTCCCTTCCTTCCTTCTTTCCTTCTTTCCCTTTCTCTTTCCCCTTTTCCCTTTTCCCTTTCCCTTTCCTTTCTTATTTTTTTTTTGAGACAGACTCTTGCTCTGTTGCCCAGGCCAGAATGCTGAGGTGTGATCTTGGCTCCCCACAACCTCTGTCTCCTAGGTTCAAGTGATTCTCTTGCCTCAGCCTCTCGAGTAGCTGGGACTACAGGCACACGCCACCATGCCTGCCTAATTTTTGTATTTTTAGTAGAGACGAGGTTTCACTATGTTGGCCAGGCTGGTTGGATCCGCCATTTTTTTAAGTAGCCCTGGTTCCTTTTAGTGAAGAATGGGATGTGGCAGCCAAGGTCTGGGTTGTTAGGGGTGCTTCTCACTTTTGGGGTGTCACTGCTCTTAAGCCCCCCTAGTGGACTAAGCTAGGAAATACAAGTTTGGGTACACAATGCTTATTTCTATATAAACCATGAGTTCATACAGCTTCATCTCCGATTCCATGTGACACCGACTCCACAAAGGCCAATCCAGCCTCTGGTCTGTGCACGTCCCTCCTCTGACGTCCATCCCCTGATTCCCCTTGACCACGATGCATTTACCTACTTGCACAGTTCTAGAATATACTCAAATATTGCTAACACGCCACTGTAATAAAGAAACCTAACTAGAATTCAGTATTTGTTTATGGGTTTTTGCCTTGAGCTGAAGGTGCACAGTCAAAATACTGCACTCCCAAATGACTTGTCAGTCTCTGCCTTTCCTTGCCAGTGTGGTTGTATTATGTATTTAAAATACTTTTTTTTTTTTTTTGAGACAGGTCTCTGTCACCCAGGCTGGAGTGCAATGGCGTGATCAAGGCCCACGGCAGCCTCAACCTCCCTGGCTCAGGTGATCCATCGCAGCCTCCCAAGTAGCTAGGACTACAGGTGTGCGCCACCACATCCAGGTAATTTTTGTATTTTTTGTAGAGATGGTGTTTCACCATGTTGCCTAAGCTGGTCTTGAACCCCTGAGCTCAAGTGATCTGCCCACCTTGGGCTCCCAAAGTGCTAGGATTACAGGTGTGAGCCACACACCTGGCCAGCAGGTGATTATTGACTGACTGAACAAAAGCTTGGTCTTGCTCTGCCTTAAGTTACCCGAAGGCCAAAGAGGAAGGTTGGCTGGGTGCAGTGGCTCACCCTTGTAATCCCAGCACTTTTGGAGGCTGAGGTGGGAGGATAGCTTGAGTCCAGGAGTTTGTGACCAGCCTGGGCAATATAGTAAGATCCCATACAAAAAATAAAAAGTTAGGCCGGGTGCTGTGGTTCACGCCTGTAATCCCAGCATGTTGGGAGGCCGAGGCAGGAGGATCATGAGGTCAGGAGATCAAGATCATCCTGGCTAACATGGTGAAACCCCATCTCTACTAAAAATATGAAAAATTAGCCGGATGTGGTGGTACGTGCCTATAGTCCCAGGTAGTCAGGAAGTTGAGGCAGGAGAATTGCTTGAACCCAGGAGGTGGAGGTTCCAGTGAGCCGAGATCAAGCATTGCACTCCAGCCTGGGCAACAGAGCGAGACTCCGCCTGAATACGTACATACATAAAAATTAACCAAGTGTGGTGGTGCACGCCTGTAGTCCCAGATGCTCAGGAGGCTGAGGCAGAAGGATCACTTAAATCCAAGAGGTCGAGGCCGCAGCAAGCCTTGATAACACCACTGCACTCTCCAGCCTGGGTGACAGAGTAAGACCCTGTCGCCCCCTCCACAATAAAAAGACATCCGGCCTAGACACTCACTTATTCAACAAATATTTCTATCACCTATTATGTACCAGGCCCTATTCTAGTAACTGGGCATACAGCAGTGAAAAACAAAAACAAAAAAAACCTCTGCCCTTAAGGGGCTCACTGAATATTCCAGTTAGGAAGGAGAGAGTTGGTTAGAAGGCAGTGAGTGCTGGAGAGGATAGACAGGAAATGCTAAGGACGGCAATTTCCGGGAGAAGGCAGCGGCTGAGTAAACACCTTAAACATGGTCTCTGAGGGAAGAGCATTTGAGGCAGAGGGAACCACTGGTGCAAAGGCCCTGCGGTAGGAGCATGCCTGGTGTGGGTGGGAAAGAGCCTGAAGAGGACAGGGACATGGAGTGGATGCGCTCAGTTGGAGGCAGAATAATGGGGTATAACGGGCCTTCAGCTGGAGGGAGACAGGAGCCATGATGAAGTTCTGGACACAGGGAGGGGTAACCTGCTTTAGGGGTGCACAGCTTCCTCCAGCTGCATGTGGGGAACAAACTCTAGGGGATGGAAATGGAGAGCAGCCAGGAGTCCCCCGCACTAGTCCAGGCTGATGCTGCTGGCTTGGGGGGGTCACTTTCACAGCAGTGGACCGAGCTTCGCACAGACAGGAACCTCAGGTGATTTGCTCACTCACTATACCCAGTGCACAGAAAAGAGGCTGCCTTCCTTTCATATTTGTCAAGACTTGACTTACAGCTCCCGTGTCAGGAGCTTTTACTGCATCAGGCCTTGTGCTGGACACTTACACAGAAGGTTGTACATTCCACAGACAACCTCATCAACGACAGTTTGAAATCATCCTGACTTTTATGGTCGAGGAAAGTGAGGCTCAGAGGGGCTGCTTCAGGCAGTAGGATGAGGATCTGTCTTTGGCCGCCGACTTTAGAGGGCTTCGAGAGGACAGAGCCAGCCTGCGGGGCACTCACCTTTGTGCACCTGCCCAGGCGAGGCTGGCTCAGTGCGCACGCGCCCAGGCGCATTTAAAGCGCGGGATGGGCTTCTCTTCCCCCAGCTGCAAGCGGTCAGTGCTTAGCCTCACTGGCGACGCCCGGCTGGAGGATGCTGGTGAGAGGCAGGGGCCAGGGGTCCGGATCGGGCTTCTCTTTAGGCGCTGAGCCACCAAGGCCTTCTCCTTTGCAGAGTCCCACTGCCTCCCTAGATGCAGAGCCTCCGAGTGTCCCAGTCCCCGACAGCATCTCCGCGGGCCCCAGTGTCTCCCCAAGATGCCTGGAGAGGCCGCCGGGGCTCGAGGAGGCGCTGAGCGCGCTGGGGCTGCAGGGAGAACGCGAGTACGCCGGGGACATTTTTGCCGAAGTCATGGTGAGCCCACCTGCCGCCTGCCCTGGTGAGGCCAGCGCCGCCCACCACCCAGCACCCTGTCAACACCACCTCCGAACTCCCACTGCACCAGCCTCTCCCCTGCAGGTCACTGGCGGCCAGCGTTCCTTTCCCGCAACGTCCAGGCTTTTGTTTTGCGTTCCGCTGGGAATGCCCTTTCCCACAGTCCCCCGGCTCTTTGCAGCCCCTTCTGGGGTGTTTATGGTTCCGTGTACTTGTCCTCCACATTTATTCGTTTAACAAATATTTAGTGGTTAAGTGTCGAATGTTTTAGGCCCTGGAGGTGCTGCAATGCTGGCCTCGTTCTGGGGCGATGAGCAAACACGTAGGACAGTTAGAGAAAAACCACCGAAACCAAAACGTTGGCCTCGCCAGCCCTCAGACGTCCCTAGCAGAGGGGTGCTGCGGAAGGAAGACTGAAGGGAGGAATTTATTTAACCTCCTGCCAGCGACTCTCCTGGGCCGGGATCTCCATTAGGACCTGAGCAACACCTGTGTTCTAGTCAGGAGACCCTGAGCCGTGAGGCTGGCAGCCTAGCAGGCGAATAGACAAAGCGCACAGGGAGACAGCTGCAGAGTGAAAACGCTGAGACAGAGAGCTGGTGACCAGGCGGGAGGAGTGTAGACAAAGTCACGGAGATGCCAGTTGAGCCCGCGCAAGGAGCTGGGGAAGGACACTCTCTGTAGAGGAAAGAGGGAGTGGAAAGGGCCTGGGGTAGGAATGGGCTTGGCATAGTCTAGGAGCCAAAAAGAAGGCAGTTGTGGCTGAAGTGTGGGTTGTGAGGGGAGAGAGGAAAGAGGTGATGTTGGAGCACAGCCTGAAAGAAATTAGCGTTTTCTCCAAGTGTTCTGGGAGCCACGGAAGTGTTTTAAGCTGGGGAGTTCCTTGATCAGATCTTTCTTTGGAAAGAAACTTCTGGGTGCTTTGAGGCAGATGGGTTGAGAGTTGGCAGTCAAAAGTGAAGTCTGAGGCTGGGCATGTGGCTTATGCCTGTAATCCCAGCGCTTTGGGAGGCTAAGGTGGCCTGATCACCTGAGGTTGGGAGTTCAAGACCAGCCTGGTTAACATGGTGAAACCCTGTCTCTACAAAAGTTAGCTGGGCATGATGGTGGGTGCCTTTAATCTCAGCTACTTGGGAGGCTGAGGTGGGAGAATCACTTGAACCCAGGAGGTAGAGGTTGCAGTGAGCTGAGATCGTGCCGTTGCAATCCAGCCTGGGCAACAGAGGGAGACTTCGTCCCCAAAAAAAGAAAAAGAAAAAAATGAAGTCCAGGAACCTAGTGGGAGCCACCTAGGAGGCCACGTGGCTCTGGGGGCTATAGACTGGAGAGGTGGATGTGGAGGCATCTGGAACAAAGCCAGAGTTCTAGGTGAGGACCTCTAAGAGGAATGCATTTGGAGGCCAGTTTGGGTGTGGCATGCCTGAAACGTTCAACTGACTGGAGGAGGCTGCTGCACCCAGGGCTGGAGCTCAGGAGAAAGGCCAGGCACAGGTGTGGAGAGTGAGGCATCCCTGCCTCAACCCCAGGTGTGCCGCGTGCTGCCCCGGAGAGCCCTGCACCGAGCTGTGACCCTGGAGATGCGCGCCCTGGTGGTAGATTGGCTGGTCCAGGTGCACGTAGGTATCTGGAAGGGTGTGGGGAGCTGGGTTTGCATCACTGCCTGGGACCCCATGGTCACCCATGCCCCTTCTCAGGAGTACCTGGGTCTGGCTGGTGACACACTTTACCTGGCGGTGCACCTGCTTGATTCCTACCTGAGCACCAGCCGCGTGCGCTCACATCGCCTGCAGCTGCTAGGCGTGGCCTGTCTGTTTGTGGCGTGCAAAATGGAAGAGTGCGTGCTTCCCGAGGTACTTCCGGGGTGGGATTTCGGAGGGTGGATCGAGTCTTTGCAGGAGTCACTGATTCAGTGCCTACTGTATGCCAAGCACTGTGCTGAGTCTGGGATTCCCAACGTGTGTGAGGGAGGGGCTGTCAACGTGTCCCTTAAACAGAAGAGGAGACTGAGGCCCACAGAGAAGACACTTGCCCCAAATCAAGCAGTTGGAACTTGGACTTGGTCTTGAATAGTCTGTATTAAGGCTGGGTGTGGTGGCTCACTCCTGTAATTCCAGCAGTTTGGGTGGCAGAGACAGGCAGATCACTTGAGGTCAGGAGTTCGAGACCAGCCTGACTAACATGGTGAGAACCCGTCTCTACTAAAAATATAAAAACGAAGGCCGGGCGCGGTGGCTCACGCCTGTAATCCCAGCACTTTGGGAGGCCGAGGCGGGTGGATCACGAGGTCAAGAAATCAAGACCATCCTGGTCAACGTGGTGAAACCCCGTCTCTACTAAAAATACAAAAAATTAGCTGGGCATGGTGGCGCGTGCCTGTAGTCCCAGCTACTCAGGAGGCTGAGGCAGGAGAATTGCCTGAACCCAGGAGGCGGAGGTTGTGGTGTGCCGACATCGCGCCATTGCACTCCAGCCTGGGTAACAAGAGCGAAACTCCGTCTCAAACAAACAAAAACGAGCCGGGCGTGGTGGTGCATCCCTGTAGTCCCGATTACTCAGGAGACTGAGGCAGGAGAATCGCTTGAACCCAGGAGGCAGTGGTTGCAGTGAGTCGCGCCACTGCACTCTACCCCCCACACAAAAATCCCTCGCTTTGAGAAGCCAAGGTGACCTCATCTCTAATTTAGAAAAGTAAATAAAAATAATATGAACGAGTTAATCTCGAGTTGTTACCGTCAACATGCATGAATTCAGTGCCTTATCAGAACTGCCTGGTGAAGCAGGGAGTAGTATCTGTTTTACAGAGGGAGAAACAGGCTGAGAGCCTAAGTGACTGTCCTGTGTCACACAGTGAGCAGACCGTGGGGTTTGAACTCGGACCTAGGTCTCGAACCCAGGACTCTGAAGCCCGTGCTCTCTACGACTTCCAGACACAAGCCAATAGCTGCATTTTACACACCAGGAAACTGAGGTCCGGAACTTGGGCCGTTCCAGGGCAGGGAATAAACAGCTGGGATCCAGGGTTCTTTCACTTCCCCTTCATATCCCCCGTCTGCAGCCCACCTGCCTCTGCCTCCTGGGTGCGGACTCCTTCTCGCGGGCGGAGCTGCTGCGCGCGGAGCGCCGCATCCTGAGCCGCCTGGATTTCCGGCTGTACCACCCGGGCCCGCTGCTGTGCCTCGGGCTGCTGGCCGCGCTGGCAGGGAGCAGCCCCCAGGTGGGCCTCGTGGATACGCGGGGTGGGGGTGTGGCTGGGCCGGCGTGGGGTAGGGCGGGGCCTGACAGTCGCCCCGCCTCGCTCGCAGGTGATGCTACTTGCCACCTACTTCCTGGAGTTGTCTTTGCTGGAGGCCGAGGCGGTGGGATGGGAGCCGAGTCGTCTCGCGGCTGCGGCTCTGAGCCTGGCGCACCGCTTGCTCGACGGGGCAGGCTCCAGGCTCAAGCCGGAACTTAACAGGTGTGACCTTGTTGGGGGGCCTGTATGGGGTCACCTCAGCTTCAGGGACCTCCCTTCCTGGTCATTTTTACCGTCTCAGAGAATGAGAGACAATTATTGGGGAGGAGGTGGCCCCTAGACTTGATTTTTCTGGCTATGGGAGAGAATGGGGTGGGAGGATCCCATTAGTCCAGATCTGGGGGCGCTTAACCTTGCCCCACGGTGGAAGATAAAGCCTCCCAGGCCCAGAAGATGCTCCAGTTGGCTTCCAGGGCTGAGAACGAAGGCTCTCCCAGGCCTTGAGTCCTCTAACTCTGTATCTGGTGGTGGATGGGGTGTTCCTTTAGCTGCTAGGGCCACTAACCGCGCCACCAGGTGGCGGGGCGAACCATTTTTCTCCCAGCCTGTATCCCCAGAATAGAGAGGATGGCTGTCCATCCTCGGCTCCCTTCCTTGCTTCCTCGCGGGTTCTGGTTCCCCACTAGATGCGCCCTGCAAGGAGAATCGGGTGTCCATCCTCCCTGGTACCCGCCTTGTCACTCCAGTGCCCTATCTCGAGAGCCCTGACCCGTCCATGGGGACCCACAGATGCGACTTCGACGCATCTCGGCCTCGAAGCTCCAGTTCTGAGGATGGGTCATCTCCACCCCCTTGCCCTGCCTCAGTTTCTCCATCTCCCTCTGCAGCTCCGAGGAACTGGGCCCCCTCGAGCCGTGCATGGCCCGTGCTGCACTCCGAGGTCCCACGCCAGGCCGCGCCGCCGTCTTCTTCAAGTACGCGCGGTCCCAGCGCCAGGGCACCAGCCTCACCGCTGCCTGCCTGCTCCGCGGCCTCCACCTGAGCCTCCCTGAGCGCTGAGGCTCAGTCATCAAAACAAACAAACAAACAAACAGCCTCCCAGTGTGTGTTCGTCTGTCATCTCAATAAAGTAAGTTTTTATTTTGAGCGCTCTCTGCCCTCATTGGTCGAATTCCAGTCCCTTCTTGCTTTTGATTGGTCGCTTTCTAGGGCTCGCATCCCTCTGATTGGATGTTCTTACCACGTCATTTAACGTTTGCTGAATATAAAATGCAAATTCTGAATCCTCCACTAGGGGGCAATGGCGGGCTTCCCCTAGAGCCATTCAGCAGGATAAAACCGGGATCCCTTAAGGACTGGCATGAAATCAGGAAGGAAGGGGACTGTGGGGAACTGAGAAGGCCCTCCCGGGTCGGAAGGAATGCTACCTCGATGCTGCTGGATTTTCAGATCTTACTCAACTCAATCTGAAATTCTGCAATTCCATCTCTGCCTTTACATGTTGACTAATTCAATATTCCTTTTTTTCTTTTTTTAAGACCGAGTTTCGCTCTTGTTGCCCAGGCTGGAGTGCAATGGCACGATCTCGGCTCACCACAACCTCCACCTCCCGGGTTCAAGCGATTCTCCTGCCTCAGCCTCCCGAGTAGCTGAGATTACAGGCATGTGCCACCACGCCTGGCTCATTTTGTATATTTAGTAGAGACGGGTTTTCTTCTTGTTGATCAGGCTGGTCTCGAACTTCCGGCTTTGGGTGATCCTCCCGCCTTGGTCTCTCACAATGCTGGGATTTCAGGCGTGAGCCACTACATCGGCCTAATTCAACATTTCTTAATTGTTGTACAAGCCCCAACACATCACCTATATTGGACTCTGAAGATAGGGTCTCAGGCTTGGGAGATTCTCTGTGAAGGTCATCAGTTTGTAATAGTAAGTACTGGATAGTAAGAGTTTGATCAATGGGGTCTGATATGCTTAACCTGGGAAGGGCCCAGGTGTCAATGGGAATTAATTATGGTACCCACCACCTGACACTGTGGGGAGGATGTGAGTTAAAACATACATAAAGTTTTATGACGATGTCTGACACCTAAGAGGTGTTGTAAGTGTTAGCATTGCATCCCAGCAGCACCGTGGTTTTAGGTACAGTTGTCCTCTGCTACTGTGCCTGGGTACCTAGGTATTTACTTGGTCAGAAAAGATGTGTTATGAATCAATGGCTCTTCCCCCCCCGCCCCCAGACAGGGTCTCACTCTGTTATTAGGTTGGAGTGCAGTAGTGTTCTCAGCTCACTGCAGCCGCCACCTCTTGTGTTCAAGCGATCCTCCTACCTCAGCCTTCCAAGTAGCTGGGACCACTGGCACACACCACCACGCCTGGCTAATTTTTTTGTATTTTTGGTAGAGAAAATGTTTTGCCATGTTGCCCAGGCTGGTCTCGAAATCCTAAATTCAGGTGATCCACCTGCCTCAACCTCCCAAAGTGTGGGGATTACAGGTGTGAGCCACCATGCCTGGCCAGATCTTCATGTTTTTAATTACAAAACAGCCACACCCGAGGTGGGGAAAGGCATGTACACTGCTCAAGAACTCACACTCAGGAGTTTTACCTGCCTGGGTTTGGAGATGCAGAAAGGAAAATGTTTCCATGCCTGAGGTGTTCAAGGTTGTACCCCAGGGATAAGGGAGAAACTCACCCAGCAAAAGCATTTTACAGCAAAGTACAATAAGGGATAGAGGAAGATGCTTCGGTTGAGATGGAAGATGCTGAGTTCCAGTTTCTGTCACTGCATGTGGGACCTTCAGCCAGAGGATGTGCTGTGGGGTTGGATGTGGGAAGAGTGGAGGTGCTTGGGGCTGAGACCCAAGCTACAGTCTCGGGGGAGGGGGAAGGAGGAGTGATGCAGAATGCTATTCACTGACACACTCATTCAACAACTATATGTGGATGCTGACTCAGAGCCAGGCACTCAAGATCACATGACTCAGAGTCTAATGGATAAGAAACACCAATTGTTAATTGCCCATTAATGTTTGAGGCCCTGTGCTAAATGCCTTACCTGCATAAGATAATTCAGTCCCTGCAACCTCTCTGAGGTTAACTTGCCTTTTATCTTCATGTCACACAGAAAAAGTCAAAGGAGGAAGATGGAGGAACTTGGCCCAGGTCCCACGGCTAAGGAGGCAGCTAAGGAGGACCATAGGGCAATCAACTCATTCACACTTGCTTTTTGTCTTGAAGCCTCCTGCATGCTTCCTTTCCTGGGGACTTGTTTGCCTTCTCACTGGCTTTCCCACATAGACAGGTGAGCTTGATGAGGGCAAGAAGGAGATCTCTCTTGTTTATAGGGTCATTCCCTCCTCCAGGAAGGCTTTACTCACCACCTCAGCGCACAGCAGTACCTCCCATATCCCAGCCCCGACCCCTCTGCCTGTGCCTCCTCCCCCGGGCCCTTACACCTCTGCCTGTGCTTCCCAGGCTAGCCTGTTCAGGGCTGTCACTGTCTGGTCACTGGTCTGTCTGCCCACTCAACTGGGGACCCAGTGAGGGTAGGGTCTGAAGCTCATGCAGTCTCTGCTACATCCCAGCATCATCCAGCACAGAGCTGGGCACAGAAAGGATGTCAGTGAATATTTGTTGCATAAATTAGCAGATGAATCCCAAAGAAGGTATTCTCTCTCCCTTCCTTCCTCCCTCCCTTTCTTCCTTCATTGCTTTTTTTAAAGACAGCGTCTCCCTCTGTCACCCAGGCTGGAGTGCTGTGGTACAATCTCTGCTCACTACAACCTCTGCCTCCCAGGTTCAAGCGATTCTGCTGCCTCAGTCTCCCGAGTAGCTGGGACTACAGGGGTATGTCACCACATCCGCCTAATTTTGTGTGTGTGTGTAACTGTGTGTGTGTGTGTGTGTGTGTGTGTGTGTGTGTGTGTGTATCTCCTGACCTCAAGCGATCCACTGGCCTTGGCCTCCCGAAGCTCTGGCATTAGAGGTATGAGCCATCGTGCCCGGCCCTAAAGATGATATTATTGTTCCATGTTACTGATGAGGATACAGAGTTCCAGGTAGTTTAAGTGAGCTGTGTCATACCACTGGTGAGAAAATAGGCAGGGGTTTGAATTTGGGCGGCTTGGGTCCAAATCCTGTGTTCTCATTCGTTATGCCAAATGGCCAGCAGGCTGAGAGCCAGCTTTCCATGAGGCTGATGTCTTCCTGCTCTTTCCCCAAGGCTTGTCCTTTCCTTCTAGAAATCTTCAGGAGTTCTGGGCACCGGGGAGGAGAGTAGGCAGGAGGGTGATGAGGGTAAGGGAGTGAGAACAATTTGGGGGCGGGCTGGAGAAATAGGACTTGGCTAATTTGAGAGTGAGCATGGGGGAAGTCTCGAGGGGTTTCCCTAGACCCATAGGGGGCAGCTGGAGTCGGCTGCCGGAGGTGAGGGGGCGGAGAAAGGGTGGGGACCAGCCCCGCGGGGGGCGATGCGGTAGCTGCAGCGCGGCGGCAGGAGTTTCCCACAATGCAGCGCGGTGCGCTGTCCCCGGTGCTGATGCTCAGCGCTGCCCCGGAGCCTCCGCCGCGGCCGCCTCCCGCCCTGTCCCCGCCGGGCCCGGGCTCTGGCTCTGGCTCCCGCCATGGCTCTACTCGTCTTGGTCCTACCCCAGAGCCGTCGGGGAGCCTGGGTGCAGCGCTCGACAGCAGCCTGCGTGCCGCCGTGGCGTTCAAGGCGGAGGGCCAGCGCTGCTACCGAGAGAAGAAGTTCCGGGAGGCCATCGGCAAGTACCACCGAGCGCTGCTGCAGCTGAAGGCGGCGCAGGGGGCCCGCCCTGGAGGCCTGCCCGCCCCCGTCCCCGGGCCCACCAGCAGCCCCGGGCCGGCGCGCCTCAGTGAGGAGCAGCGGCGCCTGGTGGAGAGCACGGAGGTGGAGTGTTATGATTCTCTCACCGGTATGCCGTCGGGGATGAAGGGATGGGGCACGTGGGGAGGGGGTTGGTGAGGGGCAATCAGGAGAGCTTGGAGACCTGGGGGACAGGGGCTCCGGAGCTGAAGGGTCTGGGGTCATGGGCTTCTGGGGGAGACTTCAGAGCATGATCAAGGAAAGAGATTGGGGGTAGGGGATGACAGGGGTCTGTGGCTGGAGGGAGCTGGGATGCCGGAAATGGTCTTTGGGTGGGATCTTCAGGGCCTGCTTTCAGAGTCATTCTTACCACCTTCTGGCTGCACGTGGACCTAAGGTGAGGAAGTCTGCCCCGAGTGAGCCGTTGGAGGTCCCGGCCCTCGACCCCGGCCCCGCCCCCGCGCTGCCCTTAGTGCTCTTGCCCACCGACAGCTCCAGGCGCATCACCTAGCGGCCAGCACCTGTCCGTGGGATCACCTAGAGGCCAGAGCCTGTCAGTGTTTTGGCACCCTCTAGTGGCGGTGCAGTTTCATCTGTTTTGACAGGCGAGCAGATTGGCGCCCCCGGTGGCCCGAGCAATCCCTTAGGCCAAGTTCCCTGCAGCCTGGAGCCCTGGCTCCTCATGGTCAGGTGGGTTCTGAGGGTGCCGTGCCACCAGGCTCTGAGAACCCCGGCCCCGGTGCCCCCGCAGCTTGCCTGCTGCAGTCGGAGCTGGTGAACTACGAGCGCGTGCGCGAGTACTGTCTCAAGGTGCTGGAGAAGCAGCAGGGCAACTTTAAGGCCACCTACCGCGCCGGCATTGCCTTCTACCACCTAGGTGACTATGCAGGCGCGCTGCGCTACCTGCAGGAGGCCCGCAGCCGGGAGCCCACAGGTGAGTGGCAGGGCCGGGCAGAAGTGAGGGCTGGCCCAGGGATCAGAAAGGGGCTGGAGCAGAGGGAATGGGCAGGAAGATCGGGACAGAATAGCAAAGCCCTCCTCCGCCCGCGGAGCTGCCTCAAGGGAGGGCTGTACCACCCACCCACTCCCTACATGCCCACTTTCCACTCACCCCACCATTCATCCACCCACCCTTCACCCATCCGTCTCCCCATCGCTCCTCTGACATCTCCCCAGTCAGTTCTCATCTACTGTCATTGACATACCTGATAACTCCTGTTCACGGCCTCAGCCACTTCCCTATCCACTCACTGTCATCTCATTCCCCCGTCCCACCCTGCATAACACACACACTTATTCCTCCATTCACCCACTCACCCATTCACACACAACTATTCATTCACTTCCTCCACCATCCACTCATCCACCTGGGTGGGCGATGCCAGGAAATTGGGGTGTGCGCATGTGTGCACTTACAAGTGCAAGAGGGCAGACACAACACTCGGTTTTGTATTAAGAGCCAATGAGGGATGAAGAGGGATTACAACAGGTGCAGGGTTGTGGGAGTAGAGACGAGATTAGTTTTCCCATTAAGTGGCTGGGAGAGAACAGACTTCTCATCCTCCAGTGACATCTGCAAGAAGTGTGACGGGAGCCTCTGCGAAGAGGCACTCTTGGCAGAGGGTGCCGCAAATACAGGTGCATAGAGGTGTACAATGTCACTAGCTGTGGCATTTGGGAAGGGCTCTGGCACTACTGGTTGTGTGAGTGAGCTGCTGGAGACTGTGGAGAATGGAGTGTGAGCCAGGATGGTGTGGAAGCCACCTGCTGCCCCAGGACACCCAGATGATGCCCTACTTGCCTCCCCCGCAGACACCAATGTGCTCCGCTACATCCAGCTGACTCAGCTGAAGATGAACCGTTGCAGCCTCCAGCGGCAAGACAGTGGAGCTGGGGCCCAGACTCGGGATGTGATTGGCTGAGGCCAACCCAAGAGGATCGTCTTTACCCCCTCATCCTCCCACCTCACCATGTATGTAACTTCCCCCTGACTCATATGTTTGCTGGTAAAACACTTGTCACTGGTGATCATAACTTGTGTGGTGTTCTTGGTGGTGGTGGGGGACCAGGGAGGGCCACATCCCTTGGACCTTAGAAGCCCAGAGAAGCCCAGGGAGGGTGTGTGGGGTGGGGGAATGTTCCACTGGGTTGACCCTGCATCAGGGACTGGGCCCAGGAAAGAAACAGTCCAGGTCCAGTGCGGTGGCTCACGCCTGTAATCCCAGCACTCTGGCACACTGAGGCAGGTGGATCACTTGAGGTCAGGAGTTTGAGAGCAGCCTGGTCAACATGGTGAAACCCTGTCTCTACCAAAAATAAAAAAATTAGCCGGCTGTGGTGGTGGGTGCCTGTAGTCCCAGCTACTCAGGAGGCTGAGGCAGGAGAATCACTTGAACCCAGGAGGTGGAGACTGCAGTGAGCTGAGGTGGTGCCACTGCACTCCAGCCTCGGTGACTAAGCCAGACTCTGTCTCAAAAAAGAGAAAAACGAAAATGAAAAAGGAACACAGCCAAGTGCGTTAGGGGGCAGGGGTTACCTTTAATGCTGCATTTTTGTGCCAAGTCCCCCATGATGCCCTGTCCCTGAGTATCCCTGCCCACCCACCCCCCAGTGCAGGGCGGACACAGGGCTCCACCCCCTGGGGTACAAAGGAATAAGTTAAGTGTCCCCCCTCCCCCCTTCCCCAATAAATAGAGTGAGCATCCTGCCCAGGGCCTTCCCCACCTTCTGGCATGGCGGGCTGGGGCAGGGCCTGGGGCGCTACATTCATGGCTGCCCAGGCGGGCGGTGGTGGGCAGGCCTTAGTGGGAGCCGTGGGCCCCGCATAGGGGCACTGTGCTGTCCTGGTTCTGCCCCTCCATGTCCATGTCCAGCAATGTGGGCTGCATGCTGGGGGGCCCAGGGCTCTCTGGAGTGTCTGGCCTGCTGGGAGGCGAGATGGTGAGCGTCTGGCCAAAGGAGACCAGTTTCCAGGGGTCCAAGCGAGGGCGACTGGCAGCTGGCCGAGGTCTCGGGGCAAAAGTCAGGGTGGTGGGGCGGCCTGGGAACTCGGGGGGCCGGCGGCGGGCTGGGAAAAGGGCCTGGGGGTCGGGCAGGCGGGGGAAGTCCAGAGGGTCTTGAGGGCCTGGTAAGAGAGGTTCAGAGGAGGTGAGTGGGGTAGGGCAGAGGGTGGCATTGAAAAGCCCAGAGCTTTTACATGAAAAGCAGTTCTGGTTTCCCCCGAGAAATCCATGGATCTTTCTGTACCCAATTTCCAGCTGCAGTGCGGCAGTGCTGGGACCCTGACCTAGGCTGGGACCACTCCCAGGTGCTTGCTGCTCCGGGTGGACCCTGGCATGCTTTTTTCCCCCCCAAAGATGGGGTTTCACCGTCATGGCTATGTTGGTCTTGAACTCCTGGATCCACCCACCTCAGCCGCCCAAAGTGCTAGGATTACAGGCCAGAGCCACGGCGCCCAGGCTGGTATGTTCCTTAACCTTCTGGAGCTGCTGCTTAGCAGCCCCTGGGACCAAAACCCTGGTCTTTCTGACTCCCGTACATTGGGCTAAGCTCCTGCAGGCACACTTCGGGCATGGCTTACCTCTGAATGGGGATAAACATGGCACCTCACTACAGAGGCGAGGAGCAAATAAAATAATTTAACACAAGCAGCAGTGCCCGACGGTGGGTACTGAGTAACACTGCCATGGCGGCATCTCCGCCCCGGTTAAGTGATGGAGAAGAACAGTGTCTAGGTGCTGTGTAAGAGTTGGCGATGGCCACGCTGGTCACTATTGCTAAAGGCACCCACCTGGCCTTGTAGGCATCAGTTTGCCACCCGTGTCTCAGTCCCCTGGACGCCCCCAGTGCCTCCAGAAGTGAGGAGCAAAGGGACACAGACCCTCCCTCCTCCACAAGCAGGAGGTGGCCGCTTGTCGGGTGGTGGCTAGGTTGGACTTGTGACCCTGGCAAAGGAGGGAAGGGAGGGTTTTCTGCAACCTGGGTGCGGGGCGCCTCACTCACCAGGGCAGTGGGCCACGGGCTCGGGAGGACCCCGCTGCCCCAGCACCCCGTCCGATGGAGTCCGCCGGTGCCCGCGGCTCATGGCGCCGGCGCGTGCAGCTGTGACGTGGGTAGGCGTGAGCGACTGGCGGGGGTCCTTCTTGAAGCTCTCCAGCTCCAGGTCCACCAGGGGGTTGGCGCTGGGTGAGGGTGTGGGAGCAGGCGGGGAGGGTGGAGGGGAGGGTGGTGGGGAGGGCGCGGCCGGCGCGGCCTCATCACTGTCCGAGCGCAGCAGTGAACGCGTCGAGTTGCAGTCAGACACGGACGAAAGTGACACGAGCGTGACCGAGGGCACCAGGCCCAGGCCCGCGTCATCGCGGCGGCCGTGAGAACGCGCGGGTGGGCTGAAGCCCCGCGGGAAGCGGCCGGCGCGGGGGAAGAACAGGCCGTCTAGCCAGCGCCGCTGCTCCTCGCTGTCACAGGCTGCGCGTGCCTCGGCCACGTCAGCGCCCAGGCCCACGGCCCCCAGCAGCGTGGCGCAGCCTAGCAGCGCCAGGTCGCAGCGCCGCCGGGCGCCGTGTCCCCACCGAGCTGGGGGTGCAGACGGTGTCGGCTCCCACGGCGCCCGCGTCCCTGGGGAGGGCTCAGCGGGCAACGGCACCGAGAGGTAGGATGGGGTCGAGTAGGGGGAAGGGGGCACGCTTCCTCCGTCCTCTGCCTCAGCGAACTCCTCTGCAACAGAAGAGAGCCATCTGTCACTCACCTGCGGGGCTGGCCAGGATCCCACGGGGACCCCTCCAACAGTACGACCAAGACCTCGAAGCCTCGTTCTTGAATCTGTCTCCCCGAGGAGCTTCGGGGAAGAGTGCTCCCTTTCCCTGGAAATGACCTCCCACCTCCCAGGGGCCACCATCTCCTTTTCCAGGAAGGCCTCCCACCCACTGACCCAGTGAAATCTGGGAGGCTCTTCCCTCAGCTCTGGGAGGTTCACCCCTTTGGCCAGGGAACCCCCATCCCCTTTCAAGCACCCAGTCTCTTACCCATCTCATTGAGGCTGGCGAAGCCGGGGGCGATGGGTGTGTGTTTGGGGGACTTGCCCAGGTTGGGGGCACTTGATGACCACTGTTTGCTTCCTTCCCCCAGCCCCTTCAGCCTGCAGGGGACCAGAAAGAGATGGAGACCTCAGTCCTCTGGCCTGCAGCCTGGGAACTGGGGCCTGGGCACAGGGCGGGCACCACCACGCCTCACCTCTCCTCTCCCACCCGCTCCTTCTGCAGGGTGGAACTGGGCCCCCATGTCCGTCCCTTCTTCTTGCCCCCGACCAGTTCTTCCTTCTTGGGGGGTCCACCGCGGCTCCATGTCCCACTGCCTCCGCTGCTGCTGCCACTGCTGCTGCCACCACAGTCCACAGGAGTCACTGGGGCCAGAGAAACCACTTGGTTACTGGGTGAAGGGTCTGTCCCCACTAGGCTCCCAGCCTCCAGGGCCCCAGCGCAGAACCACCCTCTGCTTGGGAGTCCAAGGGCTCTTTCAAACTCCAGTCATGACCCTCCCTGCTATAAATCCTCCGGCAGCTCCCTACTGCTGTCAGGACGAAGTTCCAGCGCTTCTGCCTGGCATTGAAGGCTATGAGCGATTCTTTGTCAACTCCTCCAACCTCCCCTGCTTTTCACAGCCTAACCCTTCACCATTCATTCCAGCTGGCTGCCTGCGCTTCCAGCCTCCAGCTCTGGGTAGTTAGTTCCCTGCAGGTCAACTGCCCTTGTCTCGATCCCTGTGAAGCTCTAGACCTATCTGGTGCCAGTGCTTGCTGACATAGTATGGGTATTTATCTGTGTGTCTCCTGCAGGACTGACCTCCTGGGCCTGGTACAGAGCAGGTGCCGGGACAGAGGGCAGGGGGGCTGTGGGTGGGGACAGTGCTGGGGCAAATGAGGGGTTGGAACTTGGGAAGTAGCCTTTCACCCTTCAACCCACCAGCAAACTCCGACGACTGTATCTCTGCCCTATCGCCTCGACGGTGGACATGTGTCCCTTCCAAGTCCCCCACCCTGGCCTGGCCTCCAACATCTCACTGCTCTCTCCACCTTTATTTCTTACAGCAGCCAGAGGGAAAAGGTCAATTTGATTCCTTCAGTGCCTTGCTCACGTGGCTCTGGGGGCTGCTCCAGAGCCACTAAAAGAAAATTCATAGCCCAGTCATGACGGCTCATGCCTGTAATCCCAGCACTTTGGGAGGTCGAGGTAGGCAGATCACAAGGTCAAGAGATCAAGACCATCCTGGCCAACATGGAGAAACCCTGTCTCTACTACAATTACAAAAATTAGCCAGGCGTGGTGGCATGTGCCTGTAATCCCAGCTACTTGAGAGGCTGAGGCAGGAGAATTGCTTGAACCCAGGAGTTGGAGGTTGCAGTGAGCCAAGATTGCCCACTGTATTCCAGTCTGGCAACAGAACAAGATTCCATCTCAAAAAAACAAAAAACAAAATGAAAATCCATACCAGGTCAGGTGCAGTAGTTTTCACCTGGAATCCCAGCACTTTGGGAGGCTGAGGTGGAGGAATCACTTGAGGGTCAGGATCGGGAGTTTGAGACCAGCCTGGCCAACATGGTGAAACCTCTACTAAAATACAAAAAATTAGCCAGGCATAGTGGTGCAGGCCTGCAGTCCCAGCTACTCAGGAGGCTGAGGTCAAGCCACTGCACCCCAGCTTGGGAGGCGGAGCAAAAGCCTGTCTCACCATGGAATACTATGCAGCTATAAAAAGGAATGAGATCATGTCCTTTGCAGGGACATGGATGGAGCTGGCAGCCATTATCCTCAGCAAACTAATGCAGGAACAGAAAACCAAACACATGTTCTCACTTATAAGTGAGGTGAACAATGAGATCACATGGACACAGGGAGGGGAACAACAGACACTGGTGCCTGTCGTGGGGGCTGGGGAGGGAGAATATTAGGAAAAACAGCTAACACATGGGCTTCCTACCGAGGTGATGGGTTGACAGGTGCAGCAAATTACCACGGCACACATTTACCTGTATAATAAACCCGCACATCCTGCACATGTACTCCGGAACTAAACATCAAAATTAAAAACAATCCATACCAAAGATGTCAAATGAAAATTAAAAAAAACAGAAACAAAAAAAAGGAAAGAAAATCCAGACTCCTTATCCTGCTCTTAGGCCTCTGCCTGATCTGACTGACCCCTGTGAACTCCCCGACCGCAAAACCTACGTCCTCCTCCCATTCACTCTGCTCCAACCAAGTGGGCTAATAAGCAGCCCACGCTGTTCCCACCTCCAGCTTTTGCCTTTGCTGTTTCCTCTGCTGGTTAAAAGTAGCTGGGATCACAGGCACGTACCACTACGCCCAACTAATTTTGTTTTTTTTTTTTTTTTGAGATGGACTTTCGCTGTTGTTACCCAGGCTGGAGTACAATGGCATGATCTCGGCTCACTGCAACCTCCGCCTCCTGGGTTCAAGCAATTCTCCTGCTTCAGCCTCCCGAGTAGCTGGGATTACAGGCGTGCACCACTATGCCCAGCTAATTTTTGTATTTTTAGTAGAGACGGGGTTTCACCTTGTTGACCAGGATAGTATCGATCTCTTGACCTCGTGATCCACCCGTCTCGGCCTCCCAAAGTGCTGGGATTATAGGCATGAGTCGCCGTGCCCAGCCAATACATCTCTTTCTATGTATCTAAACATATGCAGTTGGGTGTAGTGGCTCATGCCTGGAATCCCGGCACTCTGGGAGGCCTAGGCGGGTAGATCGCCTGAGGTCAGGAGTTCGAGACCAGCCTGGCCAGCATAGTGAATCCTTGTTTCTACTAAAAATACAAAAATTAGCCAGGCCTGGTGGCACATGCCTGTAATCTCAGCTAATAGGGGGGCTGAGGCAGGAGAACTGCTTGAACCTGGGAGGTGGAGGTTGCAGTGAGCCAAGATCATGCCATTGTACTCCAGCCTGGGTGACAGAGCAAGACTCTGTCTAAAAAAAAAAAAAAATGCTAATCATTCTGTTTGCCTGAAGAACTCTGAGTAATACACCTCCTCTTTTATTCCCTTCCCTAAGTTCCTTTAAAGAACTTATCACTATTAGAAATCATCTTGTGGCCGGGCGCAGTGGCTCACACCGCTAATCCCAGCACTTTGGGAGGATGAGGTGGGAGGACTGGTTGAGCCCAGGAGTTCAACACCGGCCTGGGCAGCAAAGTGAGACCCCATCTCTACTTAAAAACAAAAAAAAATAGATGTGTTATGAGAGTTTGGCACATACAATTAGGGAGGCTGGGAAGTCCTGCAATCTGCCTTCTGCAAGCAAAGGCCTGGGAGAGCCAGTGACGCAGCTCCACATCAAGCCCAAAGGCCTGGGAGAGCCAGTGACGCAGCTCCACATCAAGCCCAAAGGCCTGGGAGAGCCAGTGACGCAGCTCCACATCAAGCCCAAAGGCCTGGGAGAGCCAGTGACGCAGCTCCACATCAAGCCCAAAGGCCTGGGAGAGCCAGTGACGCAGCTCCACATCAAGCCCAAAGGCCTGGGAGAGCCAGTGACGCAGCTCCACATCAAGCCCAAAGGCCTGGGAGAGCCAGTGACGCAGCTCCACATCAAGCCCAAAGGCCTGGCCAGGCGCAGTGGCTCACACCTGTAATCCCAGCACTTTGGGAGGCCGAGGCAGGCAGATCACCTGAGGTCGGGAGTTCGAGACCAGCCTGGCCAACATGGTGAAACCCCTAACTCTATTAAAAATGCAAAAAATTAGCTGGGTGTGGTGGTGTGCACCTGTAACTGCAGCTACTCAGGAGGCTGAGGCAGAAGAATCACTGGAACTGCACCACTGCACTCCAGCCTGGGAGACAGAGACTCCATCTCAAAAAAAAAAAAAAAAAATTATCCTGCTTACTGACTTGCTTACTCTGTTTCCCATAATAAGAATGAGGAAAAGGGCCTTGTCTGTCTTGTGTCCTGCTGTTCCTCTGGCTTGGTGCCAGGTACAAACATCAGGCTCAAAGATATTTGTTGATGGACTGATCGACTGACCGGTCAGGGCCTTGGGAGATACTCACGGCGAATGGCCCTCAGCCGGGGGATGATGCTGGGGCTTGCGGGGGGGCTGGCGCCATCGGATCCTTTCCGCTTATCCAGAGTTGGAGAGGCCTGGACTGTGATCTTGTGCTCAAAGCCTGCAGAAAGAGAAGCTTTCCTAAGCAAATGGTTCCATGGGTAACCAAAGGGAAGTTTCCACTGTAGAAGCAGAGAAGGAATTCTAGAATGGGAACACTGCCATTTTCATTCCTTAATGCAGTGGTTCTCAGAGTGCGGGCCCCAGACCAGCAGCATTACCATCAGCTGAAAATGTCTTGGCGAGGCAACTTTTTGGGCCCTCCCTGAATCAGCAAGTTGGGGTGAGGCTCAGCAAGGGAAATGTGGTTTAATAAGCACAAGCACAGCAGCTCTAGTAGACCAAGGACCTATGCCTCAGTGTCCAACATGGCGGCCAGTAGCCACGTGTAGCAACTGAGCACTTGAAATGTGGCTTGTGCTATAAAGGACTTGGAATTTAACCTTTATTTATCTAATTTTAAAATTGTATATATATATATGTAAAAGATGAGGTCTCACTGTGTTGCCCAGGCTGGTCTTGAACTCTTGGCCTCAAGGGATCCTTCAGCATCCACGTCCCAAAGTGCTGGGATTACAGGTGTGAGCCACCATGCCCAGCCAACTCTTTTATTTATTTGGTTGTAATTAAAGTTTAAATTTAAAAAACAGGTACTCCATTTGGTTACTGGAAACATTTAAGTGTGCTTGGAACAACTTGGGTATGTATATCTACTTTTTCCTCTCTAACTTTTATAAAATCTAAATACAGATAAAATATTTTTGATAGGTCAGGCGCAGTAGCTCACGCCTGAACTCACAGCACTTTGGGAGGCCAAGGTGGGAGGAGCCGAAGTGTGGGAGTTCGAGACCACCATGGGCAATATAGGAAGACCCCCCATCTCAGGAAAAAAAAATCGATTTTAATGAAAATTTACTCTCCAGGTTGAGATGTGCCAAAAATATAAAATACACACTGGATTTCAAAGATTTAGTGTGAAAAAAGAAGGTCAAATATCTCACAATTATTTTGTATTGATTACATGGATACAGTGGGCTAAATACATTTTTGGTTTTTTTTGAGACGGAGTTTCACTTGTTGCCCAGGCTGGAGTGCAATGGTGCGATCTTGGCTCGCCACATCCTCTGTCTCCTGGGTTCGATTCTCCTGCCTCAGCCCCCAGAGTAGCTGGGATTACAGGTATGCCCTACCATGCCCTGCTAATTCTGTATTTTTAGTAGAGACGAGGTTTCTCCATGTTGTTCAGGCTGGTCTCAAACTTCCGACCTCAGGTGATCCACCCACCTCGGCCTCCCAAAGTGCTGGGATTACAGGTGTGAGCCACCGCACTTGGCCATAAATAAATAAATATATATTTTGTGACACAGTCTCACTCTGTCACCCAGGCTGAAGTGCAGTGGCGCAATCTCTGCTCACAGCAACTTCTGTTTTCTGGGTTCAAGTGATTCTTATTCCTCAGCCTCCCAAGCTGGGATTACAGGCATGTGACCATCACACCTGGCTAATTTTTGTATTTTGAGTAGAAATGGGGTTTCACCATGTTGGTCAGGCTGCTCTAGAACTCCTGGCCTCAAGTGATCCACCCACTCTGCCCTCCCAAAGTGCTGGGATTACAGGTGTGAGCCACTGCACGTGGCCAGATTTAAAGATATTTTTGAAGAGAGAATAAAGGTTCAAAAGTACCCTAAACGTCAAGACAGAGGTTCCACTTAGCGGGTGGTGTGAGGTGGTGTTTGGGAAGGCAGGTGGAAAGCACTTGGGATGGCTGTGGGGTTCTCTCTGCTTTCAAGGGGGTGTGACTAGAGTAACTCATTTAGCTGTACATGTTTTTGGTCATGTCACGTCCCTCCCTCCCTCCTTCCCTCCTTCCTTCCTTCCTTCTTTTCTTTTAGAGATAGGGTCTTGCTCTGCTGCACAGACTGGAGTCCAGTGGTGTAATCACAGCTTACTGCAGCCTTCAACTCCTGGACTCAAGTGATCCTCCCACCCCAGCCTCCCCGGTAGCTAGGACTCTAAGTACATGCCAACATGCCCAGCTGATTTTTTTTTAAATATGGGGTCTACATTGCCCAGTCTGGTCTCAAATTCCTGGCCTCGCCAGTAGGCTGATGCTACAGGTGCTCGCCACTGCACTGGGCTGATCATTGACTATGTGTGATATATTTGGCAATAAAAACAAGTTGGAAAAGAAAAGAAAGAGAGAAATCCTAGGTCAGGGCTGCTCCCAGCAGCCTCTGAGGGGCACTCTGGGGACTCGGGTGGGTACCGGAGGGCAGGCTGATGTGGCTGCCGCCTTCTCGCAGCTTGAGCAGGCGGCTGCGCTTGAAGTTGCCCTTGCGCTTGCGGACCCGGGGCTTCTCCTGGCTCAGCTGGCACATGAGCAGATGCAGCTCCCGTTCCACGATGTCCATCTCACGCTCTGCCAGCTCCTGCTCTCGCCGCCGCAGCTGCTCCTCCTGGAAGCGCTGCTCCTGTGCTGCCCGCAGCAACTCCTCCTCACGGCTCCGAAGCTCCTGGGGAGGAGAGGTGGGGGCTTAGCCACTCTGCTCCCTGGGGAGGGACCCGGGGCTGCTGGGTCTGGTTGGTGCCTCACACATGGGTACTCTGCTGTGGGGCACATTGGGTTCACCACTGGACTCGTGCTTTGCTAGCCAAGCTGGGTGCCAGGGAAGGGAATGTTAGCCCAAAGAAAGGGGTGCCTTTTCTTTCTCTTTTCTCTTTCTTAATGGTTCCATTTAGAAAACTTCAAACATCCACAAAAGCAGAAAACAGTGCACCCCCCAGTAGCCATCATCCAACTTCAACAATCACCTATGCTTTGTGAATCTTGTATCCCCATCCCTCTCTCCTCTTGCCCTTTCTTCATTTCTGCTGTAGTATTTTAAAGCCAACCTCAGACATCATGCAATGTCACCTGTAAGTACTTCAGTACAGGGTGCCTTTTTCTTATTAATCCACCAGTAGGAGGCTGTCTTTTCTTAATATGCAAAAAAGGCTCCCTTGACCCTGCATGGACCCAAAGGCTGGGGTTCAGGGGAAGGGTCTCTGAGAAGCCCAAGGCATCAGAACTCGGGGGTCTTGCTCCATCTTTCCCACCGTGCCCCCTGCCTTCACCTTCTCCTTGGTCCGAAGGTCATCAAACATGTGCTGGATCTCCAGCTTCCAGTCTTCCTGCAGCGAGTGGAAGGACTCCAGTGGCATCTGGAACAGGGCTGACTGTTCGATGACTTCAAGCCGCTTCAAGATGCTGCCAAAATCTGGCCGCCCGTGGGGGTCTGGGTCCCAGCATTCTGGGGTGGGAGGAGGGACAGTGGTGGGGGGTAGGGGTGTCAGTGGTCATGCTCTGGGGTATCAGCCTGCTCAGAGGAAGGCAGAATTTCTGGGGACTGAAGACAAACAGCTTCTATAGAGCTGAGGGGAAGGGATTCAAAGACAAATTCCTGGCCAATTCCACTCAGTGAAACGCTGGGAGAGAAACCCCGGGACCTGTACCCTGAGGAGGGGCTGGTGGTAGAATCAGGATCACTGAGGAATCCCAGGGCCAAGGAATCCTAACAGGTTGTCTTGGAGAGCTCTGGGCCTGGCTAAAACAAGGGTTGGGGGTGGGGGAATGGAGCCAGCCATGGGGAGACTGTTTAGAGTCCAGTGGGTTCCAGCCCCTTCTCCCACACTCCCGGGCCCACTGGTATGGATGGGTGTGAAGGGGCGAGGTCTGGGCCCACGGGTCCCTGCCACTCCAAGCTGAGCCCACCCTCTCCATGGGGCCCCGGCTCACCCTCCAGGAGGCGGGCAAAGGGCTCGGGGCACGTGGAGGGAATAGGCAGCGTCAGCTTATTCATAGCCACGCCATACGCCACGGCCAAGGCGTCGATCTCTCGGTAGGGGACCTCCCCCGTCAGCAGCTCCCACAGCAGCACCCCGAAGCTGCAGGCGGGGGAGAGGAAGGGGTGATGTAACAGCCCACCCCAATGCTCACCTGTACTCAGCCCTACCCTGGTCTCATGCCCTCACCCCAACACCCACCCCCAGCCAATGAGGTCACAGGAACTTGCTTTGGGGTGGGCCGAGCTGTCTGATGTCTCTCCTTTGCTCGGCCTCTCTTCCCTCGCCCCTGCCTGGAAACTTCAGGTCCCATGTTCCTGCTGGGCAAATCCATCCTTCTTACTTTTATTTTTGTAGACATGGAAGTCTCACTGTATTGCTCAGGCTGGTCTCAAACTCCTAGGCTCAAGTGATCCTCCTGCCTTGGCCTCCCAAAGTGCTTGGATTATAGGCATGAGCCTCTGCAACCGGCCTATATCCATCCTTCTTGACCCTGGCAGCCTCAACTCTAAACACCATCAGCCCATTCTAACCCTGACTTCATCTTGTAGCCACACTGAATACTGAACAGGCCCTGTTCCTCCTGACCTCTGGCCTTTGCACATGCTCTTCCCTTTGTGGAACACACTCTTCCCTTGTGTAACTATTTGTTCCTCAAGTCTCAACTCAGGTTGTCCCCTCTGCCAGGGAGCCTTCCTTGATTTCACAGCCTCCAAAGCTATATTAGAGGCCCCTCCTCTATGTTCCCACAGAACACGCACCACTTACCTCTAAAACCCAGTTAACACTATTTAACATTTATAAAGCATGCACCGCAGGCCAGGCACTGTGCAAGGCACTCAGTAATCCTCACAACAGCCCTGTAAGGCAGAAGGATTTGGTATGACCCCTGCTTTATCTGATGAGCAGGTACAGGCTCAGAGAGGTTAAGGGGCTTGCCCGAGGTCACACAGCTAGTGAGTGGTGGAGCCACTCGGATTTGGGTCCGCCTGCTGCCCAGGACAGTGCCCTCAGTGGCTCCATGGTTCCAGAGCATGTGTCACTGTGTGCTGCGGTCAGCTGCAAGGCTATTTTCCCCTGCAAACTCTGCATCCTCCCAGGTGCTGATGGCCATTCCATGTGGTGCCTATCCTGGAGTAGATCCCTGGTCTCCTCCACTATCCCCTCATCTATTCATTCAACATATACCTTTTTTTTTTGTTTGAGACAAGAGTTTCTGTTGCCCAGGCAACAGTGGTGCGATCTTGGCTCCCTGCAACCTCTGCCTCCCGGGTTCAAGTGATTCTTGTGCCTCAGCCTCCCAAGTAGCTGGGATTACAGGCACACATCACTACCCTGCCTAATTTTTGTACTTTTAGTAGAGACAGGGTTTCACTATGTTAGGCTGGTCTTGGACTCCTGACCTCAGGTGATCTGCCTGCCTTGGCCTCCCAAAGAGCTGGGATTACAGGCATGAACCACTGTGCCCAGCCCATTCAACATATACTCATTAAGTGCCTACTGTGTGCAAAGCACCATTCTAGGTGCTTTGACACCTAGACACTAGGAAGAGGTAGACACAAATCACTGCCCCCATGCAGCTGACAGCATCCCATTCTTCAGTAACAGTGCTGGTGAATTGGAGCTGACCGCATGCTGCCTGCATGAATTTTCCATTCTCCTTTTTTGTTAAGAATGTCCACATGACCACAGTCTGGCGCAAGAGATGTAGGAGGGTGTGTAGTAGGTGACTAGCTTCCAGGAAGTGTCCTTAAAAAGAAAGGGTGCCCTGGATGGCCATGGTGGCTCACACCTGTAATCCCAGCACTTTGGGAGGCTGAGGCAGGTGGATCATGAGGTCAGGAGTTCAAGAACAGCCTAACATAGCAAAACCCTGTCTCTACTAAAAATACAAAAAAATCAGCTGGGCATGATGGCGCATGCCTATAATCCCAGCTACTCAGGAGGCTGAGGCAGGAGAATCGCTTGAACCCAGGAGGCAGAGGTTGTAGTGAGCCAAGATCGCACCATTGCACTCCAGCCTGGGCAACAGAGTGAGACTCTATCTCAAAAAAAAAAAAAAAAAGAAAAAAAAAAGGAGTACTCCTTTCCTCTTTTCTCCTTCCTATGGTTGGAATGTAGACATAAAAACTGAAGTGGGGTGTGGGGGCAAGGGGAGGAAGAGAATTATGACAAACACCGAACGCACACAGGGCTTAAAACCTAGATGACGGGTTGATGGGTGCAGCAAACCACCATGGCACATTTATACCTCTAACAAACCTGCACGTTCCATACTTAAAAACAAAAAAAAGCTGAAATCTGGAGCCAGGGACAGTGGCTCATGTCTGTAATCTCAGCACTTTGGGAGGCCAAGGCAGGAAGACCTCTTGAGCCCAAGAGATTGAGACCAGACTAGCAAACAAAGACCTCGTCTCTACAAAAAATTAGCCTGGCATGCCTGCAGTCCCAGCTACCAGAGAGGCTGAGGTGGGAAGATCCCTGGAGCCCAGGAGGTTGAGGCTGCAATGAGGTGTGATGGCATCACTGCACTCCAGCCTAGGAGACAGAGCAAGACCTTGTTTTTTTAAAAAAAAAAACCAAAAAGCTGGAGCTTGAGCAGTCATTTTGGATCATGAGGTAAACTTGAGAATGGAGACCATACAAGGTGGGGGGGAACCAGTGGCATGATCCTCCCCACTCTCCCACGTCCCTGGAAACCTATGGGGATATTTTGATTGTTGTAATGACTGGGAGTACCACTGAAGTTTGGTGGCTGGGAGCTATGGATACCCTGCATCCTGATAAGTACAGGACACTGCCCGGCCGGGCATGACTAACTCACACTGGTAATCCCAGCACTTTGGGAGGCTGAGGCAGGTGGATCACCTGAGGTCAGGAGTTCAAGACAAGCCTAGCCAACAGGGTGAAGCCCTGTCTCCACTAAAAATATAAAAATTAGCTGCTGCATGCCTATAATCTCAGCTACTTGTGAGGCTGAGGTAGGAGAATTGCTTGAACCCAGGAGGCAGAGGTTGCAGTGAGCCAAGATTGTACCATTGCACTCCAGCCTGAGTGACCGAGCGAGTCTCTGTCTCCAAAAAAAAAGAAACAAAGTGGTAGCATAAATGAACGCCTGATGCAAAGCCATTTGGAACTTTTCCCAAAGGGCTGCTCTGCTCTAGGCTGAGCCGGGGACTTCCTGTCTGATCTGTCTCTGTCCCATACCCATTAATTTGCTGCTCGGACAATCTGGCGCCTTGGCTGGGAATTGAAGGGAACAGTAAACTGGGAGACCCAGGTTTGGCTCCAACCAAACAGAAAACTCCGGGTTGAAAGTTTCCACGGCCACCATCAACTCTCACTGGTGACAGCAACAGTCCCATCATTGGCTGTCTCTACCTAACAGCCAAAGGAGCATTATTATTATTTTTGAGATGGAGTCTCACTCTGTCATCCAAGCTGGAATTCAGTGGCGCCATCTCAGCTCACTGCAACCTCCGCCTCCTGCAGTCAAGCGATTCTCCTGCCTCAGTCTCCTGAGTAGCTGGGACTACAGGCACCTGCAACCACGCCCAGCTAATTTTTGTATTTTTAGTAGAAATGGGGTCCTTCCTTCCCTTCCTTCCCTTCCCTCCCTTCCTTCCTTCCTCCCTCTCCCTCTTTTTTTTTTTTTTTTTTTTTTTTTTAAGAGATGGGATTTCACCATGTTGGCCAGGCTGGTCTCAAACTCCTAACCTCAGGTGATCTGCCTGTCTCGGCTTTCCCAACAGCTGAGATTACAGGCATGAGCCACCTCACTCAACCTCTTTCTCTCTTTCTTGAGATGGAATCTCATTCTGTCACTCAGGCTGGAGTGCAATAGCACCATTATGGCTCACTTACCATGTAGCATACCACCATGACACATGGGTTCAAGCAATTCTTCTGCCTCAGCCTCCTGAGTAGCTGGGATTACAGGTGTGTGCTCCCACGCCTGGCTAAGTTTTGTATTTTAAATAGAGATGCAGTTTCACGATATTGGCTAGGATGATCTTGATCTCCTGACCTTGTGATCTGCCTGCCTCGGCCTCCCAAAGTGCCAGGATTACAGGCATGAGCTACTGTGCCGGCTGAATTTTTGTATTTTTAGTAGAGATGGGATTTTACCATGTTGACCAGGCTGGTCTCAAACTCCTGGCCTTAACGGATCTACGCATCTCAGCCTCCCAAAGTGCTGGGATTACAGGTGTGAGCCACTGCACTCGGCCCCCAAAGGAGCTTTTATTTACTTCCTTTAAAAAAAAAATTAATTAAAACATTTCTTTTTCATACAGACAGGGTCTCCATATGTTAACTAAGCTGGCCTCAAATTCCTGGCCTCAAGTGATCCTCCCACCTTGGCCTCCCAAAAGTACTGGGATTACAGGTGTGAGCTACCTTGGCCTCCCAGAAGTACTGGGATTACAGGTGTGAGCTACCACGTCATTCACAGACATGGCTCCTCAAGGCTTCCTACTTCATTAGAATAAAACCTGAAGGCCACTCCCTCACCCACAGGGCCTTCCAGCTCACTCTCCTACATCATTTCCTTCCTCTCTCTTCCTTGCTGGCACAGTGACAGCCACATGGGCCTTGTTGCTGTTTCTGGAACACACCACGCTCACCTCAGCCCCTCCTTTTGGGTAGCTGCTCCCCCTGACTGTGACGCTTCTTCCCCCAAACTTCTTGTGGCTAGCTCCTTTTTGCCACTCAGGACTCAGATGAAGTATCATTTCTCAGACCGCTCAGAGAAGCATTCCCATCCCCAAAGAAGTCTTCCAGCCATTACAGTACCTTCCTCTCAACCTCTGAGCACTTCGTACTAACACTTTTTCTTTCTGGTGTACTTAATTATCTTTAAAAATTATAATTTTCTTAAAAACAGCTTTTTAAAAAAGAGCTTCTCGTGTATTTATTTACTTCCTGAGGGCAGGGGCTGCATCTATTTTTGTTCGCTGCTGTATCCCCAGAACCTGGTGAAGTTAGATGAATGAATGAGTGAATTCATCATTTTCCTGTCTGACGGATGGGACGGTGCACTGGCTCATGTATGAGGGGACTTTCAGTGCTGGCACACATGCTGTCTCTAGGTCTTTTTAAATCTTTTCTTTTTTTGGAGACAGAGTCTTCCTCTGTCACTCAGGCTGGAGTGCAGTGCCATGATTTCAGCTCACTGCAACCTCCACCTCCTGGGTTCAACTGATTTTCCTGCCTCAGCCTCCTGAGTAGCTGGGATCACAGGCATGCACTACCATGCCCAGCTAATTTTTATATTTTTAGTAAAGCCAGGGTTTCACCATGTTGGTCAGGCTGGTCTCAAACTCCTGACCTCGTGATCTGCCAGTCTCAGCTTTCCAAAGTGCTGGGATTACAGGCATGAGCCACCACATCCAGCCCTGACTCTAGATCTTATGAATTTTTTATTGTAATCCAATGTGCCCTCCAATTGCCACTTGTGCTAGCTGAACAGGTAACTGGCACTTGTCTGGTGGCCTGACCTTGCCGGCAGGCCCCTCTGTCAGACCCAGGTCCTGGCTTTAGCAGGAGACCCTCCCGCCCACTCTGCCCTCACCCCTTCCTCCCTCCCTCACTCCGCAGAGGCCAATCCAGCCGCGCCTTTTAGCACCTCCAGACATCACTGCTTTTGGAGAAGAGGGAGAGACGGATAACCTCCGGCGCCATCCAGGCATAGGTCCCCGCGGCGCTCATCTTGGTGGTCTTGTGCCACTCACGGGCGAGGCCAAAGTCCGTGATCTTGAGCACCGTGTCTGCGAGGTTGTGGTTCTCTATGGCCTCCAGGATCAGGACTGTGGGGTGGGAAGAAAGGTGGGTCACCTCAGACCTGCTGTGCTGCAGACCCAAGTGTCCTGGCCCGCTGCCTCAGCTGGAAACACATTTCTCCTCTCACTGCCTCAGGCTGCCCCACTCTGTGGCAGCTCCTTTCCTGGCCTGGAACATCCATGAGCCCGTCCACCCAGGTCTAATCCCTGTCCCAGGCTCCCACGAGGGAAGAGGGAGCTCCTTCTGTGTCCTCTGCCCTCCTGACTTTGTCCTGGGCTCTACGGAGCACCGTGAATGGTCAATAACCAACAGCCAAGGTTGAGGTGGGTCACTTGAGCCCAGGAGTTCAAGACCAGCCTGTGCAACATAGCAAGACCCCATCTCTACAAAAAATAAAAAAAAAATAGCTGGGTTTGGGTGTGTGTGCCAATAGTCCCAGCTATTTGGGAGGCTGAGTTGGGAGGATCACTTGAGACTGGGAGGTTGAGGGTGCAGTGAGCCATGTTCTCACCACTGCACTCCAGCCTGGGCAACAGGGAGGCTGAGGCATGAGAACCGCTTCAAGCTGGGAGGCGAGGTTCCAGTGTGCCGAGATCATGCCACTGCACTCCAGCCCGAGTGACAGAGTGAGACTCCATCTCAAAAAAAAAAAAAAAAAAGGCAGAGTGTGTTCCTGCACCCTGACTCTGGCTCAGCCGCCTGACTCGCTTTGGCTAAGAACGACAGGGTCAATTCCAAGCCCCGGCTTCGCACGTCTCCTGGCCCTCTTGTACTTCTGCCATCACCATGACAACGTGCCTCAGCTAAGAAGATGAGAGCTACTTGGAGCAAGGCCTCTCCGGCCGAGCCCAGTGTCCATCAGTTCACCCTCCAGCTGGCCTGCAAATGCACAAGCAGTAATCAACAACAGTTGTTTTAAGATGCCGAGTTTTGGGGGTAGCTTATTACATGGCATTATTGTGACAAAATCTGATTGATGTATTCCGCAAACATATTGGATAGTTCCAGCTTCCTTACTCCTGTAAGTAAGTGGTCACTAACAGCGATGAGGATCACGGTTAGTGTCTGCACTATGCTAAGCTCTTTATATGAATTGACTCACAAACCACCCCTCTCTTTTTAAGGAGACAGGGTTGGCCAGGCAGAGTAGCTCACGCCTGTAATCCCAGCACTTTGGGAGGCTGAGGTGGGTGGATCATTTGAGATCAGGAATTTGAGACCAGCCTGGCCAACATGGTGAAACCCCGTCTCTACTAAAAATGCAAAAATTAGCCAGGTGTGGTGGTGGGTGCCTGTAGTCCCAGCCACTTGGGAGGCTGAGATGAGAGGATCACTTGAACCCAGGAGGCGGAGATTGAAGTGAGCCAAGACTGCACAACTGTACTCCAGCCTGGGTGACAGAGTGAGACTCATCTTAATGAAAAAAATAAACAAAGGGTCTTTTTCTGTTACTCAAGCTAGGGGGCAGTGGTGTGATTATGGCTTGCTGTAGCCTCAAACTCCTGGGCTCAAGGAACCCTCCAGCCTTGGCATCCCAAAGTGCTGGGATTATAGGGTAAACCATTGCACCCAGCTACAACCCATTTTTCTAGACCAGCCAGCAGAGGCTCACTTGGCTAAGAGATCACATGGCTAGAAGATGGCAGGACAAAGGCTTCAACTAGTTTGTAATCAGAGCCCAGTCTCTTAACTGCTGGGTTATTTACCACTTTCTACCCCACAGAGGCCCCAGAGTATTCAGTGTACTGCCTGGGTGTGAACCTCGGCTCTGCTTCTTCCCAGCTGCATAACCGTCAACACTTTATTTTAATCTTCACCCCCGGACCTCTCCTCTATTAAATGGGGCTGGTAACAGAATTAACCTTCTAGCATTGTGGTAAAAATTTATTGCCTGATGCAATAGGGCTTTTGAAAGTGTTAGCGGTTATTGTCCAGGTGCAGTGGCTCATGCCTGTAATCCCGGCACTTTGGGAGGCCGAGGTGGGCGGATCATGAGGTCAGGAGTTTGAGACCAGCTTGGCCATCATGGTGAAACCCCCTCTCTACAAAAAATACAAAAATTAGCTGGGTGTGGTGGTGGGTGCCTGTAACCCTAGTTACTTGGGATGCTGAGGCAGGAGAATCACTGAACCCAGGACATGGAGGTTGCAGTGAGCCAAGCCCCGCATCACTACACTCCAGCCTGGGTGACAGAGTGAGACTCCATCTCAAAAAAAAAAAAGAATTACTGGTGGAATGAAAGAATAATGGCAGATGAGTGGGGAAGCTGGGCTGGGAGGCGCTGTGTCCTCTCTCTCTGGCACAGAGCAGACCCATCACCCCAGGAGGAAGCCCTGGTCATAAGAGGCCCACTGACCCTTTGGCTAGAAAGCACTGGCTACAATAACCCTGGGGGTGTGGGGTGTCCTGTCAATCAGCAGGGGTGAGGAAGGGCTGAGAAGGAGCCCCAGCCTTCAAAAGGGACATGCTGGGTGGCCCTGCCTCCATTTACCCAACCTTTCAGAGGTGCTGGGACATAAGCATCAGTTCCCCAGATGCGGCACCAGCCCTGGCACATGTGGGCATGTGTTAGCTCTTTCTTTTTTTTTGAGATGGAGTCTTGCTCTGTCACCCAGGCTGGAGTGCAGTGACATGATCTCGGCTCACTGCAACCTCCTGGGTTGAAGCAATTCTCCTGTCTCAGCCTCTGAGTAGCTGGGATTACAGATGCATGCCACCATGCCCAGCTACTTTTTATATTTTTAGTAGAGATGGGGGTTTCATCATATTGGTCAGGCTGGTCTCAAATTTCTGACCTCAGGTGAGACACCCTCCTTGACCTCCCAAAATGCTGGGATTATATGTGTGAGCCACCATGCCCAGCCAAGCTCTCTGTTGATACACAAATGTTAGGCTTGGAAGGCAAGAAAGATGCAGTCCCTCTATTCTAGGGAATTACCATTGCTATGGGTAGGGGGACAGCAATACATCTATAAAAATAGGGGGATGGATTAAAATAAATTTCAAGATGTAGAAGTGACAAAAATCAGGATAAGATGTGGGCACTGGGAGCAAAGGGGGCACCCTCATATTTCAGGGCTTAAGTGTGAGTGATGTGAGGGCCGGGGACATGCTGGTCTCCTTCTGATGCATTTGCTTAGCACACGATCTGGCCTGGTAAATGTCAAATGAAGAATGAAGAAATGAATGAAAAAATGAAAGGGAGTGAGATGGGGCAGAGCACGAATGGGAGAGCCAGGAATGTAAGAGTTCCTCCTTGCTGTATCCCTGGCACAGCACTCTGGAAATATCTGTGGAATGAATGAACGAAACTACTAGCCCGTGAGTACCGTCAGGGCAGAAACCATGGCCGTCTTAGTTCCAGTTGGGCTTTTGCTTAATAGGTGCTCAATTAATATTTGCTGACACCACACAAAGCTTCTTGATCTAGATATGAGTCCTGTAGAACGTTCCCTTCTACCTGGCCCCATTATTTATTCAACCAACCAATCAACTTTGGAGAACCTGACAGGCAGCCTGGAAGCTTTTATATAAGCCACATCCGTTCAATTCCTCCCTCATCTTTTCCAGTTTGCCTTGGCCAGCTGGGCCTATGAAGATTCCAGGAAATGGTTCTCAACTGGGGGTGATTCTGCCCCCAGGGGACATTTGCAATGCCCAGAGACATTTTTGGTTGTCATAGCTGGGGATGGGGGCAGGGAATGTTAATGGCATCTAGCGGGAAGAGGCCAAAGATGCTGCTAAGCAACTTTCAACTCACGGGACAGATCCTGTAACAATGATCTGGCCTCAAGTGCTAACAGTGCCAGGGTTGAGACACTGGTTTCGGACAGGGTAGGCTCTTTTTGTCTCTGCCTGGCAGACTCTGGCAGCATGGCTGGATGGTGAGCACCTTGAAGGCAGCCACTGCATCTGTGCTGTTCACACAGGGAACGCATGTGTTCACGGATACACGTTTACTGAGTGACTGTGACTCTGCAGCCTGGGAGGCAGTTAAGTCCTTCAACCTTTCTGAACCTCCTTTTTCTCCCTTAAGGTGGGCAAGGCCTACGTCACCTTCACCCTGCAGGTATCATACTGCTGCCCCCTTCTCTCCCCAGGCATAGTGTCATCTGGTGTCCCTCAACCTGTTTCCCTCAACCTGTTTCCCGCCACCTAGGCATGGCCTCCTGAGGTTCGGTGGAAGGAATTTTGGGGAGAGGACACCACTTACTGTTGATGGACTTGAGGTCACGGTGGATGATGGGCACAGGGGCATCACTGTGTAGGTAGTTCATGCCCCGGGCCACCTGCACAGCCCAGTTGACCAGCACGTGAGGTGGCACCCGGCGGCCTGCCAGCACCCTGCTCAGTGCGCCACCCCGGGCATACTCCATCACCAGGCAGAGGTGTGGGGGTTTGAGGCAGGCACCCCTAAGGGCAATGATGTTGGGGTGCTGCAGGGCTCCAAAGAGCCGGGCTTCCTGGCACACCTGTTCTGCTGTCACTGCCGGGTCCTTCTCAGGGTCCAGCCGGGCGGCCTTGACGGCCACCTCCTCACCACGCCACAGGGCCCGATAGACCTTGCCAAAGCCCCCCACACCGATGATTTCTTCTAGCTGCAGCTCGTGGAAGGGGATCTCCTGGGGCAGCTGGAGGCCCGCGGGTGCAGCGGGGACGCCCGGGGCCACGTAGTTGCTGGGGAAGACGCCCACGCGACCGCTGGGGAGCTGCCCGGTCCACCAGCCCTCGTCGCCGGAGACCGCACAGTCTTGGGAAAGCACCTGGACGCGATCGCCCCTCCGCAGGGTCAGCTCCTCGTCGCCCGCCGCCTCGTAGTCGAATACCGCGGTCCAGACGGGCCCCGCGGGGGTCGTGCCCCACTCCTTGGCCGCCGCCCCCTCCTCCTCCTCCATGGGGGAGGGGCCGGGGGCTGCGGGTGGCCGCTTCACACCGGCTGCCCGCGGGATGCAGAGGGCGGACCCCGGCGGCCGGGATGGAGGGCAGTCCCTGTGGGGTCTAGGGGGTTCCTGGGGGCCATAGCTGGGACGCTCTCCGCAGGAGCAAGAAAAAAAACCCTTTCAAAGGGCAGGCTCGTCCCCTCCGATTCGGCCGTCCGGGCGGGGCAGGGTGGGAGTGAGGCGGCAGGTTCACCTGTGCCCTCCAAACGGCAGGGCGCTAAGAGGGCCTGGCCGCGCGACTCTCGAATGCCCACCGGGGTCCGCCGGTGGGAGACGAGGGCGAGGGCGGCAGGCAGTCCCTGTTCCCCGCGCCGCTCACCCCGCGCAGCTCCACCGGCGGCCCCCGGCTCCGCATCCCGGACCACGACCGCCGGGCCAGGCGGGGGTGGTGGGGCCCCGGGGGCGGCCGCCCCGGGCCGGGGTGGCGCGCCCCTCGGCCTCCTCACGCGCGAGGCGGTCGGGCAGCCCCCATTCTTGGCACCGGCCTCCCGGTCGGCCCCAGCCCCTACCCCCACCCGTGCTGCTTCCCGGGGCCGCCGGCGGGGCCCGAGTGACGTGTGGTCGACGCCGCCGCGGTGCCGCCTGGGAGCTGTAGGCTCGGGCCGCGCGGCCTCGGGGCCCAGCCCTCAGCACCCCCCGGCAGAGAACCGCTGCCAGCCTCGGGCCGCAGTGGACACCCCGCGGGGTCGAGGGAGTCCTCCCGAAGAGATGAGCCGGGCCTCGGCCCCTCCTCTGATGCGGCGTAGCGGGTGCCCGGGGCGGAGGGAAGCGCTCCTCACAGACCCTGCGGGGGCAGCTGCCCAGGGTTGGGTGGATCGCAACGGACGCGTTTAGCAACGCGAAAAATAGGAGCTGCATGCATGATGGTGACTGCCCGGAGCCTGCGAAAGCAGCCTGGACCCGGTCCCTGAAGCAGGACTGCCCCGCGGGCCCCGAGCCGAGATGCAAGCCGGGAAATGTAGTCCGCCTGGGGACTCGTGCTGCAGGGGGCGGCCCCCAAATCGCTGGTTGCCGGCGTCCGCTGGTGGCTCCAGGAAGCTAGGGGTCAGGCTGGTAGCAGGACCCTGTGGGGAAGACCGGGCTGGAAGGATGTGTTTACTGTCCCTGGGGATGTCATAGCCACATCTGCTTTCTCCATCAGCTCTGGGTTCCTCTGCTGAAGTCAGAACTCCTGCTCTCGAGAATCCCCCATCCCGATTTTATAGGAGTTTCGGTATGGGGAGCCTAAGGTGCATGTTGTGTTGTGTTAAGTGTTTTGTACACGTTGTATCGTTAAGTCTTCACAAAGAGCCCCATTTTACAGATGACTCATAGAGAAGTGAAGTCATTTGTGCAAGGCTACAGTACTATAAATGGCAAAGCAAGAACGAAAGACAGTTTTAAAAACTAACAACCCAGGCCGGGTGCGATGGCTCCTGCCTATAATCTCAGCCCTTTGGGAGGCCAAGGAGGGCGCATCACGAGGTCAGGAGTTCGAGACCAGCCTGGCCAACATGGTGAAACCCCATCTCCACCAAAAAAAAAAAAAAAAAAAAAAAAAGCCGGGCGTGGTGGTGCGCGCCTGTAATCCCAGCTACTAGGGAGGCTGAGGCAAGAGAATTGTTTGAACCCAGAAGGCGGAGATTGCAGTGAGCTGAGATCGCACCACTGCACTCCAGCCTGGACAACAGGGCAAGACATAGGCATAATTTTCTCCCAGGATGTTTTGTACATGCTTTTTTCAGTTCACTCACTGGGACTTCATTGTTTTTACTCACTTATTTATGGCTGGAATTTTTTTTTTTTTTTTTTTTTGAGATTGAGTCTCGCTCTGTCACCCAGGCTGGAGTGCAGTGGAGCCATCTTGGCTCAGTGCAACCTCCACCTCCCAGGTTCAAGTGATTCTCCCGCCTCTCAGGTTCAAGCGATTCTCCTGCCTCCCAGGTTCAAGCGATTCTCTCCCCCACCCCAGTAGCTAGGACTACAGGCACGTGCCGTCATGCCCAGCTAATTTTTGTATTTTCAGTAGAGATGGGGTTTTGCCATGTTGGCCATGCTGGTCTGGAACTCCTGAGCTCAAGCGATCCGCCTGCCTGGGCCTCCCTAAATGCTGTAATTACAGGTGTGCACCACTGCACCCATCCAATTTATAGCTGGGATTTTGTCATTTTTTAATTTTTAATTTAATTTATTTATTTTGAGACAGGGTCTCAGTTTGTCACTCAGGCTGGAGTGCCGTGACACAATCAAGGTTCACTGAAGCCTTGACTTTCCTGGGCTCAGGTGATCCTCCCACCTCGGCCTCCTGTGTAGCTGAGACCACAGGTGTGTAATACCACACCTGGATAATTTTTTTATTTTTTGTAGAGACAGGGATGGGGTCTCACCATGTTGCCCAGGCTGGTCTTGACCTCCTTCACTCAAGTGATCCTTCTGCCTTGGCCTCCCAAAGTGCTGGGATTGCAGGCATAAGCCATTGCGACCGGCCCTGTGATTTTTCTCTAATCAGTTATTGCTTCTGATTTTAAAAAATTATCTTGGATGGCTGGGCAAAGTGACTCATTACATGCCTGTAATCCTGGCACTTTGGGAGGCCAAAGCGAGTGGATCATGAGGTCAGGAATTCAAGACCAGCCTGGTAAACAAGGTGAAATCCCGTCTCTACTAAAACTACAAAAATTAGCCAGGCGGCCGGGCATGGTGGCTCATGCCTGTAATCCTAGCACTTTGGGAAGCTGAGGTGGGTGGATCCCCTGAGGTCAGGAGTCCAAGACCAGCCTGGCCATCATGGTGAAACCCCATCTTTAAAAAAATTAAATTAAATTAAATTAAAAACAAAAAGAAAAAAGAAAAAAAATTAGCCAGGCAAGATGGCAGGCACCTATAATCTCAGCTGCTCGGGAGGCTGAGGCAGGAGAATCGCTTGAGCCTAGGAGTCAGAGGTTGCAGTGAGCCGAGATCATGCCACTGCACTCCAGCCTGAGCAACAGAGCGAGACTCCATATCAAAAAGAAAGAAAGAAAGAAAGAAAGAAAGAAAGAAAGAAAGAAAGAAAGAAAGAAAAAGTTAACTTGATGTTGGTCAAGGGATACAAAGTATTAGTTATGCAAAGATGAGTAAATTCTAGAAATCTAATGTACAATGATATGACTGTTAATAAGATTTTATTGTATACTTGAAATTTGTTATAAGCATAGGGTTTTTTTTTTTTTTTTTTTTGAGACTGAGTCTTGCTCTGTCACCCAGGCTGGAGTACAATGGCATAATCTCAGTTTGCTGCAACCTCCACCTCCCGGGTTCAAGCGATTCTTCTGCCTCAGCCTCCCACGTAGCTGAGACTACAGGAACGTGCCATCATGCCCGGCTAATTTTTGTATTTTTAGTAGAGATGGGGTTTCACTGTGTTAGCCAGGATGATCTTGAACTCCTGACCTCATGTTCCACCCACCTTGGCCTCCCAAAGTGCTGGGATTACAGGCGTGAGCCACTGTGCCCGGCCAAGGATAGGTTCTAAGTGTTCTCTCACACACACAAAAAGCTCCCAACTCATTACATAGTTGAGTGACAACCTCTGCATCCTGGGTTCAAGCGATTCTTCTGCCTCAGCCTCCCTAGTAGCTGGGATTACAGATGTGAGCTACTATGCCCACCTGGCTAATTTTTGTGTTTTTAGTAGAGACTGAGTTTCATCATGTTGACCAGGCTGGTGCTGGCATTACAGGCAGGAGCTATTCCTGACTCGAAGTGATCTGCCCATATTGGCCTCTCAAAGTGCTAGGATTACGGCATGAGCCACCTCGCCCAGCTGTGTTAACTTTTTCAGTGATGTCCTGATGTCCTTGTTTGGAAGAGATGTTTAAATTTAAAATAGTCAAGCCTGTCACATTTTCACCATATGGTCTGTGCTTTCTTCTGAGTGGAAGAATTTTTGCTCACTCCAAAGCCATAACAATATTCTACATTTTCTACTAGCTGTTTTGGGTTGAATTGTGTTCTTCCAAAAAGGTATGTTAAATTCTTACTCGCAGTAACTCAGAATGTGACTGTATTTGGAAACGAGGTTGTGGCAGATGTAATTAATTAAGATGAGGTGATACTGGGTAGGGTGGGCTGCTAATGCCATGTCACTGTTGTCCTTAGCAGACAGCCAGGCTGGGTGCCGTGACTCATGCCTATAATCCCAGCACTTTGGGAGGTCAAGGTGAGAAGATCACTTGAGCCCAGGAGTTCAAGATCAGCCTGGGCAACATAGTGAGACCCCCATCTCTATAAATAAATAAATAAATAAAAAGAAGATAGCAGCCAGGCACAGTGGCTCACGCCTGTAATCCCAGCACTTTGGGAGGCTGAGACAGGTGGATCATCTGAGGCCAGGAATTTGAGACCAGCCTGGCCAATATGGTGAAACCTGGTCTCTACCAAAAATAGGAAAATTAGCCGGGCATGGTGGTGGGCACCTGTAGTCCCAGCTACTCAGGAGGCTGAGGCATAAGAATCGCTTGAAACCAGGAGGCGGAGGTTGCAGTGAGCTGAGATCGCACCACTGAACTCCAGCCTCAGCATCAAAAGCGAAACTCCACCTCAAAAAAAAAAAAAAAAAAAGATAGCTGTGTGAGGACACGGACACACACACACACTGAGAGAGAGAGAATGCGATAGGACAACAAAGGCATAGATTGGAGTTATGCAACTACAAGCCAAGCAACTCCAAAAACTACCAATAAATCATCAGAAGCTAAGAACAGGTGAGGAAGGATCCCCTGCAGGAGTCAGAGGGGGCATGGCGTGCTGACATCTTGAGTTTGGACTGCGGGCATCCAGGCATGGGAAGACAATACATTTCTGTTGGATTAAGTCACCCAGTTTGTGGTACTTTATGGCAGCCCTAGGAAACTAATATACCGTCCTAGCCTTCTGGTTTTACCTTTGTTATTTTAGGTTTCCAGCTCATTTATTTGACCTTTGTATTATGGGAG